TGGGGAGTTTTCCCTTGACCTGTCCTGATATGATTTCAAACTTCCTAGGATTTGATGACGAAATAACAGGAAAATTCTGCATACTATGTCTCCCTCTCCCGCAGAATCAAAATGCACGTTCATTATCACCTTGAAAGTTCAGTAATACCCTCTAATAAATATACTTGTTCATTGCCATTTGACCTAATGTTTTCTAAACTTATTTAGCCATAAGATGTTTTTCCCCTTTTATCTACCTATGGGATAGGTATGTTTTAAAGTTTCCACTATCAGAGTCCATTGTTTGGATTAAGACTGGAGGCCCCTGATTGCATATTACCAGGAGGGAAGACATCCACTGTTATGTTGCTATGGATTTGTTTGTGCTATCAGCTTGCCCAGCTGATGGCTGGGAGAGTGTGACACACGATGCCATGATAGGAGCCTCAAGTGCCAAAGAAATGGGTTTTGAGAACCGATGATCTCAACAACAACAACAACAACCAAAAATAGTCAAGAGGCTGAAGTCAGGGACCAGACATGAGGGGAAGTTTTTACTGAAAGAGAAGAGGAGGGAGGTGAGAGGACTCTGGAGTTAAGTATTGTCAACTGTTTATTTTAGCCTAAAACAGGTCCTCCGTCTCAGGGGCAGACTGTTCCCAATACACCCCTTATAATGAGCCATCTGAAAAATGAGTCACCGACTTTCCCCAATAATTGCTGTCACAGAAATGATGACCTTTATCCTTCATCTCATTTTTTTTTTCTTTTAAACCAATCATTTGTGTCTTCTTGCTTATTTCAGATGATGGGAAAAGTCCCTTGACTGCTCAAAGGTAAGATGGAAATGTTTTATGATTGAGTACATTTTTCTAGTTTGACTTTTTAATTTACAACAATATGTCAGAATGATTACACACAACACCCCCTTTTTGCAACAAATCTTTTGCAATGCCCCCTTTACTATTGTGAGGTAAAATATACAGACAATATATCCTAACTGCACATGTTTTTAAAAAATCAATGAATGCCTCAATTATAACATAAGGGAGAAATAAAAGAGAAAGTGATTTCCAACAGAAATGACATGCTAAGCCTGGGATGCAACATCAGCAGAGCTGGCAGAGGCTTCACCTTTGGAGGGAATCTGAAGGCAACGGCCATAAAGGCCTACGGCTAGAATATGGCATTAGCGACTCAAACGGCATCAGAGGTGGTGCCAACACCAACCTGGTCTTTCATAATAAATGACTCTGGTGAAGAGTTGTAAAATTGGTTCTAATCTTCCCTCAATTCATATGGCAATTGCATTTTTAAAGATGCAAACAAATATTTAATATTTATATCTAAGCAGTTAAGTGCCAAGCTCAGAGATTTTTCACCTGCATGAATATTGAGTAGATATTCTAGAGTTGTGTGGGGTGTAGGACAATCCCTTGGTGTCCATGCCTCTCAGGATGTCCAGCACCCCTGGCTCCTACCCACTCAATGCGGTTAGAACTCTTGATCATTATGAAAAATTTTAAAAGCCTCTAGGGGGCAGTACTACCATTTTCTGAAAACTATTGCCAGATGACCAAATATCAAGGCTGGGAACTCTGTAAGGATTTCCTCTCATCAGGAAGAAGCTGCAGCCCCTGAGCGGGCGGAGCGGGTATTCAGTACCTAAAGTAGTAACAATAACAACATGGTGTAAAATGCACTGCAAATTACCCAGAGCTGTTAAGTGGGATCTCATCACTTTGGCATTTATTTTTCTCTTCCTTTTAAAGCAGAATTCCAGGGGTGGGATGTGGTAATCCATGGTCTCTGGAGAATACTCTGTGCTGGACTGTGGTCAAGAATTAAGCATCATGTGACAGATCATCCTTGTGTTTCTTTTTTTAGCGACCTAGGAACATATGGAGTTTTCACAAATGCTGCATTTGACCCAAGCTCTTAAAGTAAGTTACCTATGAAGATATTTTTGAAAGAAATACAACAGTAAAAGAAAGAGGAAGAATATAAACCTTCACTTGTCTTTATACAATTATAGGTTAAATTTTAAGCATGTATTAAATTTTCAGGCCATGAAGGGAATCGTGTTGGCAGTAAGGGACAGGTATGGCAGTGGAGTGACAATAGAATGTGAGTTCATATAAGGATGTCCATTTCCTCTAGGATAGAAATGTTCTAGTAAGACATAGCTTATTTCAGGTTGTATGACATTCCCATCAATGGCTGCTAGGTGGTATTGACACTGTAGCCTGGCTTGATAACTGGAAGTCACGGCTGCTGGAAAAATTTTACAGTCTTTTATGGAGCCAATCTCTTATGTGATCTGCTGGGAAAACAAAAATAATCTGACACCTCCTCTCTCCCAAAAAGCTCAGTGAATAGTTGAGTTTCCTAAGAAGAATAGTGTAGATGGCAGAACATCTGGATTCTAGAAAGAGATTATGTTGAGCCTCAGGAGATAGATATGATGGGAGCTTTCTTTTTTTCTTTAAGGAAAAAATAATTATTTTAATTTTTTTGTCTCATTTTCAGAAACTGTCCTTTGAGTGGTCACCTCAATCAACTTCCACAGGATTCTATTTTTGAGTACCAGCTTTCCTACTAGACTTGATTTTAACTGCAGTGTAATTGCTGCAGTTTTCTGTAAATACTTGTGAATAAAAGACATGGAATTTCCTTTCGATTAGCTCTGAACCAGAGCAGAAGGATTGTACCACAAGCCCAAACTCTCCACCCACCATCCCTTCCTGTTCCACCTCTCCTCTTCCTCCAACATAAGGCTCAGACGCCAGGACTGGATGTTTCTGCAGTGGTCTGTGGGCTTTGCCCTGGCTGTCACTGGAAATACCAATTAGCCAGAGACTGGAGCGTCTGACTCACCAGAAGACCAGACTGGGGGGGAATAAAATGCCTCTACTTTGTTGGGAGGCAGGCAGTGTCTTTGACTTGAAGGAATTCCCGCAAGGACTTCTGGGGTCTTCAGTGGTTGCTGCTTATGAAGCTTGTTAGGCCTCTGCTACAAGCCTTCCAGAGAAGCCTCTGGATGGTACCAGAGGCTGCAGACGATCGGGAATCAAGACAGGAAGGCACACATCACCACAGACCCTCCCTCTACCAGTCACTCTCTCCTAAGGACTCAAAGACCAGTATTCAAATGTGTAATTTGTGTAATTAAAAGGATTCTCCCCAAATGCCATGTTCTTCTATTTGATATTTTGTTTAATAAAGTCTTTGTTTGCCATCAATGTAATGCACAATTATGGTTGTCCCAATTACAGCTTGACCCTTCAGTCAGCAAATTTATATCATCCTACCCCCCACAAAGAGAAAATCAGAGAAGCAGAAAAACTCCTCATCACCTGAATGTTCTACAGGGAAGCACAGAGGTGTTGTGCATGTTCTTTTAATCACGTATTAATAAATAGGTCGTTGAAAGTTATAAGCGGTCATCTGGAACTGATGCAAAAAATAAAGTTGTCTTGTCTCCATGAAATGAGAGGCAATGAACACATCATGCAGACTGAATGACACGTAAGTTAACAGCAAAATGAAATGGCAAAACAGTCTAACTAAAGGTTACAAGAATTTCGGTAGTAACCCTGGGATTTAGGGACACAGTGCTTTAAAAAAGTTTCTCTGATACACTGTCATAGAATCTCTGACTGCTTATTTTCTGCCAGTCCCTAGGCTTGGTATTATAGGACAATGGTTATCAGCCCTGTCTTCTGAGTCAGAATCTGCATTTTGTTAAAAGTTCCCCTAGAAATTCTGATGGTTTACCAGCTTTGGGAACCACTGATATTGTAGATACAGAAGTGTAAGGCATTATTCCTGCTCTTGAATGGTTTATAATCTAGTTGGGGAGACAATAGACACCCACACAAAGTGATAGAAGGTAATCAAGATGAGCATATTTTTTTAGTGTTATAGGAGTTCATAAAATGGAAAAGTCAATCTGAGCCCAGAATCAAGGAAAACCTGGAACCCTGGTCGGACTTTAAAGAGTGAATAGCAAAGAGAAAGAGAATAAGCATTCTAAGTTGATAGAATAATATCAACAAAGGAGCAAAGACAGAAAATTGTGAATTTATTCCCACGAATTACAAGACAGAAGCTTGTAGGCATGCAGTTTCAGGGAACCCAGGACAAGTCATCATGATGCTTCAAACAAGATAATTCTCAGATTCTCTATCAACAGCAAAATAAGATCTTAAGGAAGTGTGAAACAGCCAGATCCTCTGAGAAATACAAGGGGCCCTGGAGGCAGGAAAAATGCAGTCATTGTAATAAACATGTGCTATGTGCTTTCCACCTGCTAGGAATTACACACTTGACAGTATCCTTTCATTCTCCCAACAACCCTATCAAGGAAAACTATTATTGTCATCCCTATTTTGCAGATGTCAAAACTGAGCTCCAGAGAGGTTGAGTAATTTATCCAAGATAATGCAGCTAGTAGGTGGGATTGGAATCTGGTGTACTGATCCTTTCAGCCAAGCTCTTCAAGCCCTCTGCTCTGCTGCTGCCTTAGCTGACCACAGGCCCTTATCAAGACAGAGCCGTGCAGAGGTAGAAGTCAGTAAAGTGGTCCAGGCCAGCCGCCTGGTTCATGTGCTCATCCCCTTGCTTCTTCACCACCTGAAAATACAATACTTCTGTGCCCAGTAACAGGGCATAGTACCCTTTCCTGAGATTGGAAGCAGAGTGAGCTGGGAGGGTACTGGGTCCCACTGCACTGGGAATTGCAGAGGGTCTAGCAAGTGTGAACTTCGCTGCAGGCAGGTTTTACGGTGGGTGGTGAGCAGCTACCGGCGTTCCAAGGGCAGAAATGCAGGAAAACACGCCCTTGGCTCCTGAATCCCTGGGCATTGTCCCACCTGCTAGAGCCTCTGATCTCTGCCCTTTCTTCACCTGTAATAAAACAGTCACTTCTCTGGCTGCTCTCCCTAATACCTCTGGTCACTTGGGGCAGTGACCTAGCCAACCCCTGCCTGGAAAGGCCCCAGGAGGTGGGGACAGCCCGAGGCTGCTGCTGCCACTGCAGCGACTGGGGGAGCCGAAGGGAAGGAGGACACTGCCACCCGCAGCCTCCGGGGCTCACTGCAGCAGGGACAGCAGACTCGCCGGCGGCGCGGGCACAACGTGTGGCTGAGGCGGCTGCCCGGGTCCTGGGGTGGCGGCGGCGGGCAGGAGCAGGAACGGAACCATGTTCCCAGGCTGCGCGCGCCTCTGGGTCCTGGTGGTTCTGGGCACCAGCTGTGCAGGCTGGGGGAGCCCAGGGGCCGAAGCAGCGCGGCTAAGGCAGTTCTACGTGGCTGCTCAGGGCATCAGCTGGAACTACCACCCAGAGCCCACAGGCCCGAGGTGAGGCAGGTGTGGCGTCCGGGTGGGCTTCTCTAGGGAGGATAATCTGTTTCCTTTAGGGAGTGTTCCCTTTGCAATTCCATGGTGTTTTTGTTTTTTACTTAAGGTAAGTAAACATAATTAATAGGAGAGTATAATGACTGAAATAAACTTGGTGGATGCTAATTTTACCTCCAATAATACAGATTATCATTCTGAGGATATAGACCATATTCAGTTTGATTGGCTAGATGAGGCTTTCAACAGTTTGTTGTTAATACAGTTTTGTTAGCATGATTGATTGTCGGTTTAAAAATTGATTAGTTCAAAAGCACTAGGCACTAACCCCCTTATTAGCCCTTCCTGCAAACTCCTGTTTTGGATTTTTCCAGTATTTTTGTGGAACTTCTAGTTACGTATTATTTATTTCATTCTCTACATAGTTTCATCTTCTAAAACTAAAAATATCCCCTTATACTTTATTATAAGCAGATTGTTTAATAACAATTGCCGTAATTTTGTTGTTTTCATATAAATGACTTTAAAACATCATCAGTCCAAAAAAATGCAACATTTTTGTTCTTTCACCTTTTTCCTGCTCCATGTGACTCTTCATTTTTCTCCCATTCTGAATCATTCCCGGGGCTATGGTCTACTCTGTCTATTTTGGTAGGGTCACTATTAAAAGGCATATGCAACTAAGAAGAGGTTTAAATAATAAAACTTTATCTTTGAGTTGCAAACTATTTTTCCTAATTGAAAGGTTGAAAAATAAGACTTCCCAGAAATTAAACAAATCATAGAATCTACTCAGTATTTCCAGTTAGTTATAATTTTATTTGTTTTAATGGTAAACTTCTTAGTGTGACTCAATTTTATTTAATTTTTTACTTAACATCACAGTTTAAATGATTGTGAAAGATGTGTTCCTCTTTTACAATTACAAAACCAAAGTGGTCAGCCAAGAAATAATATAATATTTTAAGAGTCTTTTGGTCTTGTAATCATAAGAAATCCCTCTTTTTAAAAAAAATCATTTTAAATATTGCATTTCAAGGTGATCATTTGGTCACACTCATACCCTTAGAGAACTGCCATTAACTAAAAGCTCAAAGAAAACAGCAGTCTTTCCAATATTAATCTTTCCTACTCAAGGGTAGAACACTAACTTGGTTGCTGTTTTTCCTGTGGCATGTTTTGCTTGTGTTGGGAGTTTGTTTTTCCTTCTGTAGTTAATGCTGAAAATAATAAGCAGAATACTGGAGGTAGAACCACGTGGGGCAAAAGCCTGATTCCCATGGTGAGTCCATAGGGAGCCACGATTGGTCATCCCATCCTCTCATTCTGGCTGAGTTTCCAGGATTCTGGGAAGACTCATTCCTCTGGTATCAATTATTGAGTCAAAAGTGTAAAATGATAATCCAGACCAACTGTCAATATTTTTGAACCTCAAATCATATCATTTCTCTCTAGTCCTTTCATATGAAAAGCCTAACGTGTATCTGGCTGTTTAAACTAAGAACTTGTTCTAAATTGAACCACACCTAGAGCTAAATGACACTCACTTTAAGGAAATCAACATTACAAGTCCATCCTTGGCCAAAGTGTACTTTAGCACAAAGAAGAGATCTTTCCACTTATTTCATCAATATTAGCAGGACATACCTTTTAGAGGTAAAATATATCTATTGTTCTTGCTCCAGGTCTGAGGTGAATGCTTTTGAAAATTTCCCTAAGGAAACTTAATCACTTATATGTATGTAGTAACAGATATCGAAAAAAGTGCATATATATTTTCCCACCAGGGTTCTAGTTTTATGTGATTTTTATTATGAATAAGTCATCTTTAAACAGTCCTCATAAATGGAAAATTCATCACGTATATTGTTTGAATTCATGGTATCTTTAACTTTCTCTTCTGACAGCTTGTTGCCCAATAACCAATCAATTGTTCAATTCAAAATAGAGATGCTCAGTATGTGCAAACAGTATACACTAGCGAAAGATGTCAGGTAACACACCTCTCTTGAAATTATTCCACATAACAGATTGACTTTTCTTAGTAAATATTTTATACCATCATCCATATTCCGTCTATATTTAAAAATCTGGGGTGAACCGTTAGATTGGTAAAAACATCCAAAACCAAGAGCGACAAATGTTGGAGAGGTTGTGGAGAAAAAGGAACCCTCATACACTGTTGGTGGGAAGGCAAACTGGTACAGCCACTATGGAAAACAGTATGGAGATTTCTCAAAAAGTTAAAAATAGAAATACCCTATGACCCAGCCATCCCATTACTGGGTATCTATCCTAAGAACCTGAAATCAGAAATCCCAAGAGTCCCTTGCACCCCTATGTTCATCGCAGCATTATTTACAATAGCCAAGACGTGGAACCAACCTACATGCCCAGAAACTGATGATTGGATAAAGAAGATATGGTATATATACACAATGGAATACTACTCAGCCATAAAAAAGACAAAATTGGCCCATTCGCAGCAACGTGGATGGACCTCGAGGGTATTATGTTAAGCGAAATAAGCCAGTCAGAGAAAGACGAACTCTATATGACTCCACTCATAGGTGGAAGTTAGTATATTGACAAGGAGATCTGATCGGTGGTTACCAGGGAAAAGGGGGGGTGGGGGGAGGGCACAAAGGGGAAGTGGTGTACCCACAACATGACTAATAAAAATGTACAACTGAAATCTCGCAAGGTTGTAATCTATCATAACATTAATAAAAAAAAAAATCTGGGGTGAAGAAAGGGGGTTACTTTTCAATTATACTGAAAAAAATAAATAAAAATGGACTTTCACATTAGGGACAAAAACTAGCATATAGGATTCTTGGCCTCTAACAACTCTAAGTCATTTAATTCCTTTTCAACTTCCATGTTTTATCCTCCTACTTTCCCCACACCCTAAGCACCAGTTCCCCTACCAAGTGGTTGTGTACTTTCTACTTGAATGCTTCCAGTGACTGAGAACTCAATACCTTCAATAGCTAGCCATTCCAAAAATTACTTCCTCCTGTCTCATTTAATTCTGCCCATAAATAGTAACACAGTTCTTGTGGACCACATTTTAAAAATTACGAGGGTTACTACAGTGACAGATTTTTCCACTTTCTGGGAAAACCTGATGGCTCAAACCCAACTCTTACTACAGTTATAAAATATTACTAGCTAACAGGCATTGAATGTTTACAGTGTGCCAGCTCTAAGCCCCTTCAGGTTTCAACATTTAGTACTCGTTACAATTCTCTGAGGGAGATTCAGCTGTCATTCCCGTCTCACAATTGAGAAAACTGAGGCACAAATGGGTTAAGTAAACTTTTCAGAGCTACTGTGTATAGTTAATAAGGGGCAGACACAGGATTCAGACTCAGACCCTCGGAATCCACACCCAGTTCTCTCTGCCACCGTGCAATATGGAAATCACAGCAAATGTGGCTCGACTGCCACTCCGTTATGCCCTGATTGTGGTTGGGCCACTCTCTCTGGATTAGGACACATAACAAAGCCAATCCGGTCAACTGGTTTAGAATCTGTAAGAAATTTTCTCCAGTTCTCTTCTCTTTACCTCTATCTTTGAGCGTAAGATGAAGATAGGAACGATGTGCCCATCTTTAGAGACAGAAGAAAAAGGCAGGAAATTATCCCAGTATTTATTCTCCCTGCCTCCCTCCCTCTGAATTCTTTACTATGAAAACAGTAGTTTCACCTTCATGAGTCTTGGCTCTGACATTGCTCCTCAGACAAGTTACTTAAACTTTCCGAGACACAGTTTTTCAGTTGTTCGTTTGTTTCCAATACGAATCCCAGGGCTTTTTACTCTATTAGCCATCCCTAATTTTTCAACTAGAAATAGGGTCCACCAAATCAACAGTTCTTTACAATGTTCCCCAGTAGCGTAAAACTGTATTTCTTTGATGAGTTGAAAAACAGCTCACATATTTATTCATAAAGGACTTGGTCATATCTTTATCATTTAAAATCTAAGCCTAAAATTTGGGATCACACTACGATCTTGGGTTCTTTTTTATGAAATTGATTCTGAGTCATAGGATTAAGGCAGCCAAAATTTGTGAAAGAATGGTTATCACAATAGAATATTCTCCTTTTTTGTGAGGAAGATTGGCCCTGAGCTAACACCTGTTGCCAATCTTCCTCTTTTTGCTTGAGGAAGATTGTCATCGAGCTAACACCTGTGCCAATCTTCCTCTATTTTATGTGCAATGCTGCCACAGTGTGGCTTAATGAGCGGTGCTAGGTCTGTGCCCAGGATCCAAACCCATGAACCCGAGGCCACCAAAGCAGAGTGTGCGAACTTAACCGCTACAGCACGGGGCCGACCCCACAATAGAATATTCTTGAAGAGACCAATAGTTATTTTATTAACTTCACCCAATGTCTATATTTATAAAACCTACAGTTTCTGAAATGCAATTAAAAATACTGTTATTCCTACTACAACTCTGAGCACATGAGAGAGCTATCCTTGTTTTGCAATGTGAGAAGTGGACGTCACATATGTCTAATTAGTTTTGGTGTTTTATTTCCAGTTTGAATCCTTTTGCAACTTCCTTTAAGAAAATTGTCTATAGAGAGTATGAAGCATATTTTAAGAAAGAAAAGCCACGATCTAGAACTTCAGGTAAGCCTAAAATATGTTTATTAATTTTAAAGATAACTGTCTATAAATATTTGACATTCATATGTATCTAAAATATCCATTTAGTGATATTTTATAGAAATGCATGTTTTTGTTGTTTTTAACCAGTACAGGCTAAATAATTTGTAAGGCCCCTTTTTCATATTATTGAGCGTTTCAAAACAGTGGCACCAAAGCATTAAGCCAAGTAGGGGACACTGCTGAGCACTGGGCCCTGTGCAATTGCCCCGGTCACGTACCCATGATGCCAGCTGTTTTTAACCTTGATCAAAGAGCTCAAAAAAACTTTTAAGTGTTTGAATTTTTATTCATTCATCTAACAAACTATGATTGAGCACCTGCTATGGGCTGGGCATTGAACTAGGCACTGTGGATGCCACGGTGGACAAGACAGGCTCATACCCCATCTCCCTGAAGCTTATGGTCTAGTTTAATGAGTGCAGATGAGCCTTAGCACATGATCTTCTGCTTCCGACTGCCTCCCTAGACTCATTCAAAGGAACTATATATGGCTGATTCTTTTGCTTCTATCTTTCCTATCTCTTCTCCTGTTTTATTTAGTGTGATGTACACAATAGCCATCATTTTTAAAGAAAATCTCTTTTCTTCCTCATCTCTTCTTTAGTCCAGGAAAGTAGGTTGGATGGACTTCTGAGATCTTAAATGCCAGACCGTATTTCACAAGAAGGATAGAGGCCATTAAGAGAGAATTTCCTTTAATTGGGTCCGCTGGTCAATAATTCACTCATCCTTCCCCCAGACCAGGTGTAGACCCGTCGTCTTTCTTGGACTCATCCTTCTGCCTGTTATTCATCAGTTCTCCTCCCTCCTCTGATCTCCCTTTAGCTTTAACCTTCCCTTGACTACAGCCTTTCCTTCAGTCAAAAATCAACATAAAACAAAACAAAACTATGTTCAGGTTAACCCCCTTCTAAATAAAAATCTCCCCTTGACTCTGTCTGCCTTTCCCTTTTTTCTCTTTTCCGTCACTGCCAATTTCCTATATGAGTAGTCCATTTCATTCTTACTATATTGTTTCCTCTCCATACAGTCCCTCCCTAATCCACTCTGATGCGAGTCCACTAAAATCACTCTCAGAAAAGGGTACCCAGGACCTCTAAGCTGCCAGAGCCCATGGTTTCTTTCCAGTTCTTTCCCCACTTGATATTATAGACATCTAATGCTCCCCCTTCTTGAAACTCTCTCTTTAGCTGGTTTCCCTTGCGTCACTTCCCCTGGTGAATGGAAGTGAAATGAAAGTAAATGGAAGATGAGGACATGGAAGCAGGAGGAACTTAGAGATAACTCTTTCCTGAAACTTGGCTCCAAATGGGAGGAGAGACAGGCTAGTCCTGGAAGAGATGAGAGGTTTAAGGATGTTTTGAAGTTTTATAAAAAAGGAATACACTGACTTAAAAATATCTAAGTGCTCAAGAGAAGAATCCAATAGAAAAGGAGAGGATGAAGACATCTGAGAGAGAATAACTGATGGAGCCAGACTTAGAAAAAACAGGAAGTGATGGGAGTCAAAGCTTGGCATGGATCAGCCTGTTAGAAGAGATAGTACCTTCACTGAGGGTCGGGCAGTCAGGTTACTAATAAAACTAAGTTTGTAGTTGTAGGCAGGAAGTTAAAGGATCTCCTGTCCTCTGTCACAGTGTCTAGTCATTTTCATAACTCCAGCTCCAAGCTTAGTGTATACTATAGATACTTAAGAACTATTTAATTAAATTAACTTGTAGGTGGGTCAAGGGAAAATGACCTGGGAAACATATTTATTAGGCTTAGGAAAAGAGGAATTGGGCAGGTAATTAGAGCCCTGCCTTTTGTGGCTTTTGCAAACTGAATTAACTGAATTTGAACATCTGTGCTGTGTAAGCCATTGTGCTGAGCACCAAAAGTGATGGAAAGGACCAGTGCTAGGCTGGAGACTGTCTTTTAAGCAATAAGGAGGCATTGCTAATTTTTGAAGAGGAGAGTACTAAGATCTAAATCCTTTGAGACAATTAACTTTTGGAGTGGTTTCCTGATTCAGCCTCATTAATTAAAACTAAGGTTGATAGTGGATTTATGTTTAAGCCCTATGCACTTAAAACATCACCTTTCTGTTAACCCCAGTATATCTCATAACATGTCTGTTTTATGTGAACTCTGAGGCACGTTAGCATCCATTTTGATGAAGCCTCTTCCTAAAATCCCAAAGTTGCTTAACTGTGATATCTGGAGGCCCAGGGTGGTATCTTATTCATCTTTGTACCCCCTATAGTAGTTGATACAAGGAGGCAAACCTGGTGTAAAGGAGAAGCCTCTGATTTTGAATGAGATCTGGATTTGAGCACTGCCCTTGACTTTGTGACCCTCTCCATTGCTGGGTTAGTTCTGTGTCATTTGTACCTTTCCTCTACTTCCTGCTCCATCCATCTGGTGGGTATGATTCTAGCTGAGCCCTGAACAAGTCATGTGCCCCACTTCTGCAGCATGAGCCCAGAGGCTGGGCTGCAGGACTGGAGGTCTGAAGACAACTGTCCATTGAGGTCTGTGGACATGTGGACAGGCAGAGGGGCCGGGCTCATTTTCAGGAAGCCTGTCTTGCACTTTAAAATGGCTGGTTTTGAGTCCCTGCATCTCTTCAAGGAAGATTATGAAATGTTTGTCCCTGAAGGGGTTTTAAACTAGCTGCCACAATGGGCTTCTTTGTGATCTGTAATGCCTTATTCACCTGCGAGCAGGGATTGGATTAACTGCCTCCTGCAGTCCTTTTCAACTCCCAAACTGCATGAAATTGGGTACTTGCTGTGCTGCTACCTTCCTGGGACCGCAAGATAGGCCACTCCTTCCCCCAGTTCGGCTTTGGGCACTGAGGAGAGGGTGGGAAAGGTCAAGGCCATCTGGCTGCTGGAGGAACTAAACAGCAGCTCCAACAGCATTCAACCGTGCCTTTGTCTACATGCATGAAGGTATTTGGTTTGCATTTATGGAACCATCCTTTTGTTTTGCTTTAATTCTGGAGAAGTAAAAAGGGAGGCTAAAGAAACACTCCAAACCATTCATTGCAGTAAGAGATCTTATTAGGTTAAATAACTTAGACTTATTCTGGGCATCTGGCATTTGCAGCCATGTGATGCCAACAAACAAATCAACCAAGCAAGGCAACCATGGCAACAAAGTACAGTGCACAACATGACAGCACAGTCAGGTCCCTGTTGGGCTCATGGGCATCCCAGGCAGGTGGGAGCAGCCAGTTGGGGCTTCTGTCCGGGAGCTGGGACCTCAGGCAGCAGCGAAAAGAAAGGGGTCAGCCAGTGGAGTCAGATGTGGTCAGGAGTCAAAAATGGTGTAGACATTGGGACTATTCCAGGAAAGTGGGGGGTCTGAACATGCCCTGCAGGAGGTGGTAGTGAAAGCTTTGGTTCAGGACTCCATAGACCTGAGTTCTAGTCCCAGCAATGCCACCCAATCACTGACTGATCTTGGGCAAGCCACCCTCCCCACTCCACTTCCCAGGCTTTGTAACCATCTCTAAAATGAGGAGTGAACTCTGTGACTTCCATGGTCCTGTGCAGAGCTAACATAAAAACAAACAAACAAAAACCTGGAGGCACAGATCAGTATCAGCTCTAGGCCTGGGAGTTCAGTGAAAGAAATAGGACAACAGTGGATGGAAAGATAGGAGTTGGGGAAGATAGGATCTCTGTCTCAGCGATCTATTTCCCATTGCTCATAGGAAAATAGTTTCCTATCGCTGCTGCAACAAATTGCCACAGACTTAGCAGCTTAAAACAACACAAATTTATTACCTTATAGCTCTTGAAGACAGAAGTCCAAAATGAATTTCTCTGGGTTAAAATCAAGGTGTTGACAGAGCTCTGTTCCTCCTGGAAGCTCTAGGGGAGAATAATTTTCTTACCTTTTCAGTTACTAGAAGCCACCTGCATTCATGGCCTCATGGCCCCTTCCTCCATCTTCAATGCCAGCAGGGTAGCATCTTCCAATAGCTAACTCAGATTCTCCTGCATCCCTGTAATAAGGACCCTTGTGATTACATTGGGCCCACCTGGATAATCCAGGAAACTCAATCTCCTTAATCACACCTGCAGAGTCCCTTTTGCCATATAAGGTAGCATATTCACAGATCCCGAGAATTGGGGACATAGACACCTTGGGTGTCTACCACACCCATCAAACAAAACCCTCCCACGGTGTCCTCCGTTTCAGAGAATGGTACTCTCATCCACCCAGCCTCCCCACCAGACCCTTACCTGCCATCCATGGCAACTTGACCTCCCTCACCCTCCACCTCATATCCAATCCATCAAGTCCTGACAATTTGATCTCTTAAATAACTCCCTAATATGTTCTCTCCGCAACATCTCCACTGCCACGACCTTAAACTAAGTCACCAACATCTCTCTCCTGGAGCCTTCTATCTGTTCTCTCAGCAGCCACTCTGGTTTCTCCCCATATCATCCTCCACAAACGCAGCCAGAGATTTAAAAACCAAAATCTGGTCCATGTTGCACCACTGCTAAAATTCTTTAATGGTTTCTAGATACTCTTAGGTTAAAGGCAAACTCTAAGAGGTCTACAAGGCCCTGCATGACTGGGCCTCTGATCATGCCTTCAGTTTCACAACCCTGTGGCCATTTGTCAGATCTCTGAATAGGCCAAGTTTTCTGGCACCCCAGGACCTTTGCGCATGCTATTTCCACTCCCTGGAATGCCCTTGCCCATCCCTTTGCCTCTTTGCCTTTGGACGTCAGTTAAAGCATCCCTTCCTCAGGGAAGCATTTCCCAACCCTGATCCCCTCCCTGCCTCCAAGATTAGACTAATCAAATGCTCTTCACTTACAACAGTTTGTAATTAAATATTTGTGGGAGCATTTGTTAAAACCTGGTTTTCCTACTATTTTATAGGCAGGGACTGCATCTATTATACTCATTATTGCAATTCTGATATGTAGGATAATGTGGGCACACAATATTTGGTGAATGAATGAATGAATATGAGGTGGGGGTGCAATACAAAGAGGTGGTTAAAAGCGCAGTATCTAGAGTCAGATAGATTTAAGTTTAAATCATGGCTCTGCCTCTAATTAGCTGTAAAATATTGGGCAAGACATTTAAACTCTCTGAGGCTCAGTTTCCTCATCTGTAAAATGAGGCTCTTAATGTCTAGCTTAACAATTTGTTGGGAGGATTAACGTAAGGACTTACAGTGGTCGGATCTACTCAGGGGGACAATGAGTGGAGGTCCTATTTTAATTATCATCGCCGCTGCAAACGAATGCTGGTTGAACTCTGTGACTGCTGTAGCTTCCTTCTCCTGCTCCTGTGGTTCCTAATGGGCAGAAGCCAACCCCACAAGAGTTTACGGATGGCTTGGAAGTGAGAGCAGTCAATTCCTTTCACTTGTCTGAGAAAGAGCTATTGGTGACAGGTTCTCAAGCTTTAAAGGACATCAGAATCACTCAGGAGCACATATTAAAAATGCAGATTCCCACCTCCACCTCCAGAGACTTGGAAGTGTTGGGGTTGAGACGGTACTTGGAAATCTGCCTTCTAGTTGGAACCCGGGTGATTCTGATGCAGAGAATCCAAGGGCTACACTTTGTGAAATTCTAGTATACGATTCTTCGAAACCCTCACTCAGATAGCAACTCTTTCCCTAGCTGCCCAGACGGAACTGCTCCTTCACCCTCTCTGCCCATGTAGCACTTTGCCCATGTCTCGGCAGCAGCTCCTACCGTATGTCTATCTCCACATTAGCTTGTGAGCTCCTTGAGGACAGGCACGGTGTCTTATCTAGCCATATGGCCCCAGGACCTCGCACAGGGCCTGTAGTAAGTGAAACCTTGCTCTTGATTTCTGCATCCCTAAACTGCTGTCCTTGCTGTGTTCCCCACTGAAGTAACTGAGAACATTATTTACCCAGATCAAAAACCTCGGGGTCATCCTTGACTTCTCTCTCTCAAGTGCCACATCCAAGCTGTCAGTAAATCCTGCTGGCTCTACCTTCAAAATGTCCAGAATCCAACTTCTCCTCACTACTTCACTCCTACACACACTGGCCCAATATACTGTTGTCTCATGTCTATACCACCTGGTCCCCTGCTTCCACTCTTGTCTCTATACAGACCATTCTCTGCACAGCAGCTGGGATGAAATTTTTCATTTTTTTTTAAGGTTGAACTTGTGAAACATATCAGACCATGTCTCTGTTGCACAGAGCTCCAGCGATTTCCCATTTCACTCGGTAGAAAATCCAAAGTCCTTACCGTGGCCCATAGAGCCTGACGTGACCTGCCCTCACCCTCATCTGTCTCACTCTGCCCACACTGTTTTCCTTACCATTCTTTGGATCCATCAGGCTCACTCCTGCCTCAGGGCCTCTGAACTTGCCTCAGGGCCAGAGAACGGTGCGATTTGCTTCCTTGCTTCATTTAGGTCTCTGAGGTGTCCCACCCAGAGAGATCTAGCCAGCCAGTCACCCCCCACCCCCACATCACCCTGTGTAACTGAAAATGAACATCTTTCTTTTCTTGACCAAAGACAGCAGTCTCTAAGGAATGACAGTGGGTCAGAATGGCATGGACATGGTCAGAACTATTTCTCCTACTCTCTTGACTTGCTTTGGGCCCAAGCCAAGTGTTTCTACCTTCCTGTCCTTATCTGACTGTGCATAATGTAGAGTTGATGAGCTGGCAAAGCCTTCCAGATTGAAGACCAGCAGGTCGACCTCAGGACCAGGAGGAACGACGGCAGTCTCTTGTGTGGTTTTCTGTGTGTTTTTCTTGCTTAGCAGCTCTGTCTTTGGTAATGCTGAACACAGACATATTTTAAATCCTTGTTCCACAGGACTTCTTGGGCCTACTTTATATGCTGAAGTTGGAGACATCATGAAAGTTCACTTTAAGAATAAGGCAGACAAGCCCTTAAGCATCCATCCTCAAGGAATTAAGTACAGTAAATTCTCAGAAGGTAAGAGGAAATTACTATCCCTCTGACAAGGGAAAATGTACAACTCTTTAACACCAGTGTCAAACGTTTAAAACCATACTGTTAACCACATGTCAGAGAACTCTCCCTTCCTGCAACTGATGATTATAAAAATTATTGCCTTTGTAAGTTTTAGAGAGGAAAATGTAAAAGCTCTGGAGGCATCTAGGCCTCAGTCTTTCACTATGTTCTTGTTCCTTAACAGTTGAATGAACAAGTAACCTAATCTTTCTGAATTCCAATTTGTTTATATGTAAAATGAGAACAATAATACATAGATTGTAAGATGGCAGGGGTCAGCAAATTTTTCTGTGAAGGGCTGGATCGTAAATATTTTTGACTTTTTGGACCATGGCATCTCTGTTCAACAGCTCAACTCTACCTTTTAGCACAAAAGCAGCCATAGACAATATGTAAATGAACGAGCATGGCTGTGTCTCGATAAAACTTTATTTACAAAAACAGGCACTAGCTGGATTTGGCCCACAAGGCATAGTTTGACATAGTGACGTAGGACTAGCCTGACATAGGGCTAGCCTGGCACATAGATAAGATTCAATAAGTGGTATTTTGTGGTGGTGGTGGTAGTAGAAGTAGTATTAAAATGTTGGACATAGTGAAGTGAAGAACATAAGCTTTGAAGACACACTTAGGTTCAAATTCCAGCAGTATCATTTCTGGTTTTATGACCTTAGCATTTCTGAGCCTCAGTTTTCTCATCTATAAAATGGCAATGGTTGTACCGACTCTGTAAGATTGCTTTGAGGATTAAATGAGATCATTTAGGGAGTGTGCTAAACGTGGGTCCTGGAACCTGGTAAGCCCTCAATAAATGATGACAACAGTGATGATGATAATGATGACAATGATGGTGCAGATCATGAAGATGGTGGTGATAAAACTGACCACATCAGCCACAGGATAGTAAGTACCTGCTGTTGATATTGTTTTGGTTATTTCCATTATGCTGATGTTCAGCCCACCATAAGCAGAGTAGAGTTCTGTTAGGAACTTATATAGGAAAATTGTGTCCATATTGTAATAGATGTTGGTATAACAACATTTTAAAATAACTTTAGAACTTTCATGATTCCAAATCTTCTTTCTTCCATGTGTTCCAGCCATCATAGCTTTGAAGAGAGGAATCGCATAGGAGAGTGGTTTACAGGGCAGGTTCTGGAACTAGACTTCCTGGTACAAATCCTGGCTCAGACACTAACTAGCTGTGTGACTTTTGGAAAGTTACTTAATCTCTGTGCCTCATCTTTCTTATCTATAAAATAAGGATAATAATCATACCTACCTCATATAGTTTGTTGTCATGAAATCTTAGAGCAATGTCTAGCATATAATAAGCACTTGATAAATTTGAGATGATGGTGCAGGCGATTCTTCAATCAAACGTGTTCAAATTATAGTGTTATATGTCAACTATATCTCAATTAAATTTTTTTAAAATGTGTTCAAGTAATTCAATATTTATCTGGCAATTTATAGATTAGAAAGTGACTTCTACATTTATTATTTCATGTGTAAATTGCTGTGAAACTCATTCCAGTTAAGGTATAAGTGAGTAATAGGTCAATGAACTGCCCTCCCCAGGAGTATTTGCATTAGCACTTAATCTTTGGCTTGAGGAAAAACAATGAAGCATTAACTGTGAAATTTCAGGCATCTTAAAGAGCCAATTTGGCAAGACTCTGGGTGAGGTGGCACACACAGGACTCTTTCCTCTGTTTCTAAAATCATATAGTGACATAGTGACCAACCACTTAACCTGCTTCTGAGGCTTCCAGACAACTGCATCAGAATTCAGCAGCGTCATGCAGGAGTGGGGAGCCCTCTGAATGTCACAGGCAGATTCCATTTCAAATGTGGGAGGTGGTAAGTGTTGTGGACTTTATCCTTCAGTTGGGCTGTTTGCACAGGGAATGAACCTTGCAACATTATCCCCCTTCCTTCACTGTTTATTTGTCCCTACACTCCCCCACAGCCAGCAGCCTTTTATGAGCAATTGTTTAAAATGCTCCCACTACTTCCATTAGTCTCCTGATTATTGCCCCTGGTCCCATGAATCTGAGAAAGGAAAATATGGATTGGTCATGAAAGTCAAATTTTATCTTGGAAATAAGATTCAAATCTATTAAGTAGATAAAGAGTGTCCTTCACGGTAAAAGACATGCCTTCTGTTCATTTACTGTGCCCTCTGTGTCAAAATAAAACCTTTCCTTCTCCGCGTCTGACACTCACCCTAGCTCATAGCCTCCCTCTTTCGTTAGTGGTATTTTTTCAGGAGTGGAGATAAACTAACGTCATGTCATGCTGAGTCAGCTACGTGAGAATCCACTTTCCTTTATCTCAGAGAGATGGACGGTGGGAGGTTGAGACAATACAATAAGCTTGAGAGAGGACTCAATCCTCGCTTGTGTGGCTGCTTGATCTAACTAGTGAATGATCCAACCCAGACAGCAGTCCTTATCTGGAAATTAATCCTTGAGCCCCACCAAGGATTTGGAGACCTACTCTCATCAGCTAGAAGGAAAAGATAGCTATGGGAAGAATGCTGGCTTTAGAGCCAGAATGACCTGGGTTTGAACCCTAAGTAAACTCGGGCAATTTTCTTTACCACTAACCCTCGCTTTTACAGCTATAAAATGGGGATAGTAATTCCTCCCATCTAAGGTTATCGCAAGGATTAGTCATAACACATGTGAACTGCCTGGCATATAATTGGAACTCAATAATGATAACTATTGTTGCTTTGGTTATTTCACAGCTATTTATAGTGCAGGTATTAAGTTTTATTTCCAGAAGCTTAGATTGAATGAAGGCCTTGGCCCTGGATGGTGCTGATCATTTTATTTCTACTCGAATGAAATGAAACTCTCCTGTAGGATTTAAATACCAAAATGAACGAAAATTGTGTGGAAAAGCTCAGTTATCTACAGACATAAGGAATGCGTCATTTTGAATAATTACATTTTCCAGTGTGAGGTTTACTTAAGTGTCTAAAATATTTTCTTTTAATCACTTTGGATATAAATCTTTCTAAATGTTATACTTCCCCAGACTCTTTTAAAACAGAGGATGAGAAGTAAAATGCTAATCCCTTTCTAAATCATTACTTCCAATCTACTGTGAGATTTGACAGATACCCACAAATGTTAGAATTGTGTGCAGTCTAAGGGTAAATGACTGTAAATGAAGGCCTATGTTAGCATCTATGGTATTGCCTAAGGTAAAGACCCCGAGCTTCCATTCATGGATTTTGTAACATCTCTTTTGTTTGCCCAAGAGCCTTGTTGCTTTTAAAATTCTTAACTATGCTATACTTAGGAGATAGTTGGAAATCTGAGTTCTGGCCAGGAAAGATGTTATTGTCCTCACTGTGGAAGTCTCATGCTGGCCTTTCATCCATAAATTGGCAGCATCTGACATAAATGCCAAGTTGTAGCTCAGTGTTTCCAAACTACTCCCAGTTGCACCCCCTTCCCAGGTGTGCCTGAGAGACACCTCAGTTATGTATAGGACAAGGGTGAGTAAGGCTTCGACAGGAAGGACAAATCGTGATTTGTAAAAACCCTCACAAGAACATTTCCTTTATAAACGTATTTAATAGGAATATGTTTTTAACCAGGAATAAAATATCTGCAACTGTATCTAGTCATTTTAAAACTTTCTATCACTAAGAGTTTCACTTTGAGGCTAAATTTCAGAAGTCCTGTAGCTGGCGTGCACTCAACTTTTGGTTGTAATACTGCATCTTTCAGTAGATTTTGCTGTTCAGTCAGATCTTGAAACTGTTTGGGTCAATTACCTTTTTTTTTTTTTGAGGAAGATTAGGCTGAGTTTACTACTGCCAATTCTCCTCTTTTTGCTGAGGAAGACTGGCCCTGAGCTAACATCCGTGCCCATCTTCCTCTATTTTATATGTGGGATGCCTACCACAACATGGCTTTTGCCAAGCGGTGCCATGTCCGCACCTGGGATCCAAACTGGCGAAGCCTGGGCTGCCGAAGCGGAACGTGCGACCTTAACCACTGCGCCACGGGGCCAGCCCTGGTCAATTACCTTTAAAAGTTTGTTTCAGAGTAAATCTCTATCTTATTCTTTTATTTGATTTATATTCTCACATTTTAAGTGTGTGAGTTGCATTATGAATACTATACCAAAAAATTAATAATATTACCAGCTGTTGGCTGGTAAGCCAACTCTCTGAATAAAAAATAAAAAAATAAAATTTCCACCAAAGATTGTTCTTTGTATCTAAGTGTCACCAAATTCTTTCTATGAAAACTTAGTCTTCTAGGTTTTTCCAAAACATTCCATGCTTGACATAATGTGGGTGATTACATTTTTCACATTTTATCTGAATATTTTGGCCTTATATAGACACTTCTTTAAGTATATGATAAATACCTGAAACAAACTGTAATGGCTAATATAATAATTCTCACAAATCTAAAAAATGTGAACTCCCCTTCGAAAGAGACTGACATGCCCTGTGCAATGGAGCCAGGCTCTTTATAAAACATCAGCATTCTAATTTGCCCGTTGCCTCAAGTATAACTTCTAAAAGAATGTTCTGAACCTTTGAAGGTACACTGAAGCATTCTCTAAGTTTATTAAATGGAGAGGAAAAGGGCTCTTCAAAAACAAAAGAAACAAAGGAGGGTTTCATGAACAAGCACCCTAATGGGTGACCGAAGCAGCTCTTTATGTAACTTCACTGCCCCAAAGCTTGTACGCACCATTCTACATTTGAAAAATAAACACTGAGAGCCTTTTGGCAAATAACTGGTACCTCATGACAAGAGTAAACAAATTACAAAGCTGACTATGGACTGAGCAGGAAGTGAACAGAAGGGAGTGAATATAAAATAAAGCGCTACCCTTGTGGAAAGAATATTCTAGCAAGAAGTTCAACAAGGACTTTTTGTGCTTTAGCACAATAGTCTTTCCTGTTCATTTCTCCTCTTTTCAGTTAAGAATTTTAACTTTTTATTTTGATTACAAAGTCAAAATCTGATTCACCAAAATTGCATTTCATAAATGCTTCCTCTAAATAGTTGTTTATATTTCACACCTCGTGTTATGTAGGTTACAAAACCCAAGGGACAACATGCCTATTTTATTCTAGACTATAGGTAAAATAAAATACTTTGAAGTGAAAAGAATAAAAGCATTGATAAAATTATCCCCAAACAATCTCATTAATAATCCTCACTCAGTCTAATTAGAGTATCTATTCCCATGTACAAATCTATATTGTTCACTATTTGTTTCGAGATGCCCATAATTCACTTTTCAGTAGCATAGTAAACTTAATTAAAATCATTCATTCAATTATTTGAAATTTATCTTATATTTAACTAACAAATGAGTATGAAACGCTCAGTAAATTACTTTGGTTAACTAGATGGATATTTAAAAACTACCATGTGTTCAAATAAACCTGGATTTGAAACCCTGAACATTTAAAAATAAGTTTGATATCATCAGAAAATCAGTCACACTGCTATGTCTAGCAAGTGTTCCAGCCTCTTAGGTGATTCTCAGATATTTATATTGGTGGGTTCTCATTCCAGATGAACAATGTGTTCTAACGGTGGCTTCTCCACTGAAATGGCCTTAGAAGAAATTCAGAGGTGAAATCCATCACAACCAGGGCAGCAGCATGTATGCCACTGTTAACCAGGCTGTGAGCCCCTCAAGGTCTCAGGATGCCTTCTTTACGTGTGTGCCCTGGCAGCCAGCACAGAGCCTGGAACGTAGATGATGGTGATGATGACGATGATGACAACTGAACTAAACTGAGGGACCCAGAACTGGATTAGAAAGTAGAGAATATGCATTATTTTCCCCTTGCTCTGAAATTTATTAATTTTGCTGGTAATTGTGAGTTACCTAATCTTATTACGAGTTTTTACCACCTTTAGAATAAATACATCACCACCTTCAATCCTTCTCATATGTGTTAAGAGAACTCAAGAACACTTAAGATACATCTTACTAGGAGTAAGACATAACAGAAAGAGGCCATATCAATTGTAAAATGGCTTGGAAAGGAAATAACCAAATTACTAAAGTATATTACCACAGGCTGCCATAGCATTGGTTAGGAGCCAGACATTCTACATATATTTTCCATAACCCATCAAAAATGATAATATTATCACTGGAAAAATGATTATATTATCTTAATTTATGAATGAGAAAATTGAGGCTAAAAGGAAAGTTAAGAAACTTTCCTGAATTCACAGTTAGCAAGTAGTACAAACAAGAAATTTCAATTCTGGCCCCCAAACTCATGTACTTTCTCCTCCAATCTGGCAGAAGAATATATCATTAATCACATAATCTCACAAATATTTAATTATAAATTGTGATTAATGCTGTAATATATATGAATATAATGCTGTTACATATTGTGATATATATATATAATATCTGATATGATATATGTATATATATTACAATTAGAGATTAGAGAATAAGTAAGCTGACATTTATGCTGATATCTGAAGGATGAGCACATATTTATCCAAAAAAAAAAAGAGGCAGAATTTCAAACAGTATCTCTTACCCTATAAAGAATATCATGCTTTGCCCTTTTGAGAGCTTGTGAAGGCAATGGAAAGAGTGTCTCTTCTACTGTAGGAATCACCTGTGATATTTTAACAGTTGGAACAGAAGCATCACATCCAGAAACATCACAGGACCATAGGATCATAGTTAGAAAACTTCATGAGGCTACGAAGCATGAGGCATTGAATAAGTGCCAGCATGCTTGATTCAAGGTAGCTCTAGTCATCAACTTGCCATGTAAGTTCCAGTTAATAGACAAGGTTTGACCTGAGAGGGCAACTCTCCTTATCAGTCCTGTTTGTGCTTTGCTACCAAAGCTATTTTGTAACTTTCCAGAGATAATCCTTTCTACTTATTTGCAGAGACTCTTCCTCATAAACTCTTTTTTTCTTTTTGATTTAGAATGGAATAATATTATTTCTCACAGGAAGTTATTTAAGATTTTAACATTTCTCAGCTCCTGATCATTTTAACACTCAAATCCTTTTTATCAACAGAGTGCAAGTTCAGCCTGTAGTAAATATTGTTTTCAGTGTCAAACTATCTTTTGGGTACAAGAAAAGATGCAACAGAGTTCAGTGTTAAGCTTTTCACTAGCACAAGGGTCACAGAGTCAGATGTCTACAGCAGCCAGAAGGGTCACAGTGAAAAAATGAATCCAATAGGGACAGTGATCAGAGAACTAGTGTCCTATCTGAATGGGGCAGCCAGGACTCAGGTCCAGCCAAATTTTATGCAGGAATTTGGTCCAGCATCACCAGATCTCCAGGTTTTATTTATTTACTTACTTGTTTATTTATTTATTTATTTATTATTTTTTGACTGAGGAAGATCCGCCCTGAGCTAACGTGTCTACCCTTTGAAGTTCAGATGTCTTACTTTGGTCCTTTGTGTACCAAAAGACCCACCATTAACACTTTTACGTATACTCAATTTCCCACATACAACATAGAGGAAGCTTGGCATGGATGTTAGCTCAGGGCTAATCTTCCTCAAGCTAAAAAAAGAGGAAGCTTGGCAATAGATGTTAGCTCTGAGTGTACTTACATCCCATGCTAAACGGGCGGTTAAGTATGTGTGGCTTGTGAACTACCGTAGAGAAAATATAACCCATTCTCTTATTCTGAGATGATTTTCTGATGAAAGGTGAATCAGTTCTCTGATCATATTTAAATAATAATTATTTAGATACCATGGGAAATTAACTTGCTAAACCTTAATTAGTGTACTAGTAACATTTCTTGTTCACTTCAGATTTCAATGGACTCAAAGCCTTTATAATAACATAGACATAGAAATGGATATATGTGAATCTTTCCAAATAATGAAGGTTCCCTATAGAAAAGCATTTATATCTCTATGGATATCTTATGTTCCCCAGATTTAAGAGTGATGAAAAAGCAGCCCTCAGAAACTGTCCAGATGTTTTCACAGCTTTTACTTCTCCAGGTGCTTCTTACTCTGACCACACATTCCCTGCAGAGAAGATGGATGATGCTGTAGCTCCAGGCCAAGAATATACCTATGAGTGGCACATCGCTGAGGACAGTGGGCCCACCCATGATGACCCTCCATGCCTCACACACATCTATTACTCCTATGAAAATCTGACACAGGACTTCAACTCTGGGCTGATAGGACCTCTGCTTATTTGTAAGAAAGGTAAAAAAAAAATCAACACCAACAAAGATGTTGGAGTGGTAAGGACTTCTATAATGGAATGGGGCTTGGGAGAATCTTGGTACCTCTTTGCAAATCAAGCAGAGGGAGAAGGATGCACAAACCAGTAGTTGTTTGACATTGATATTTGAGGGTTTGGAATCCTCCTCTGTTTCTTTCAATCCCTCCTCTTCTCAATCCTGGGAGCCTCTCCCAAGTAAATCCTGTCTGATAGTATGTTCTGATGCCATGCCCGTATGATCCGTAACATTTTCCTCAAGGCCAAGTCTTCTTGGAAGTGTACAGCAGCCTATATTCTGCTGAGAGTACTTGGAAAGAACTTTGATGAACATATCTGAGGTGTGGGTTGGTACTTTGGTCTACAAGCACGCAAAATTCCTGCTTCGGGTAGTAGGTTTCAAACACACTTAACTGACTTTAGAAGAAATTTCATTGGCCGAGTTTCTTTTTTTTTCTCTTCCCCAGAGGAAACCTAGGGTCCTACTTTCCTTTATTCATGTAAAACAGTAGTATATATAGCTCTACACCTTGTCTTTTTCCCTTAAAAACAATAAATATTGGAAGTTGTCCCTTGATACTACATACAGTGCCATTTTTTGTAACAGCTACGTGATATTTCATTTTTTGGATGTTCTATGATTATTTAACCAGGCCACTATTTATGGACATCTAACTCTTTTGTTATCAAACGTTGTTACACAAAACCAAGCTGTGACACAACCGTGTTGTATGGGAATAGACTTGTGCATGTGGCCCTGTGCAAGAAAGTGCATTTGTAATTTTGATAATGTGGCAAATTGCCCTTCAGGAAAAATTGTATGAACATGCTTATTCCCCCGTATCCTCTCCAGTGTGTTTTCTCAGACTTTTCCATCTTGGGTGATCTGATGGGTAAAAATGTAAGTGAGGTTGAGCATCTTTTCATATGTTGAAGAGCCATTTCTATCTCCCTTTCAGAGCTATTATTTTGCCCAGTTTTCTACTGTATTGTTGACCCTTTTATTGATTTGTAGGAGGTCTTTATTTTATTAAGGAAACTAGCCTTTGTATGTGATAGGAATTGCAACTATTTTTTATTAGTTTCCTATTTTTCTTTTGACTTTCTCTATTCCTTGAATGATCTTTTAAAAACGTAATTTGGATCACATCACTCCTCTGCCTGACACCAGACTCCAGTGGTCTTTGGATAAAGACCAAAATCCTCACCATGGCCCACATAACTCTGCTGACTTCTAGAGTTTATCTTCTCCAGTTCTCCCCACTTTTCAATTTTTAAAATTATAAAATGTCTGATATATATAAAGAACGTATATATGTAAATTACACATCAAAATAATAATATAAACACCCATGAACCGGTCTCCCAAATAAGAACTAGAACATTCCCAATGCTCCTGTAGCATGTCGCTGTGCAACTTCCTTGATCCCACTGCCTTCCTCTCCTACTCCAAACCCAACCAGTCTCTCAAATTTTGTGTTTACCATTCCTTTGCCATTTTAAAAAATAGTTTCCTCTGGGATGTCTCTGCCCCTAGAGAATTCGTTGTTCAGTTTTGCAGTGTGTGGTCCACAGCTCATGCTTTTCTCTCTGATACTGTTTCCAAAACTGGGCTGTGTTGGCCCGGGGCCTTTGGTTCATCTCTCGTCACAGATGTATGATGTTCTCATCCTTACTTGTCCATTCTCCTGTTGATGGCCGTTTAGCTTTCTCAATGCTACAGGGAACACTCTCGTATGCGTTTGCTCATACATGAGTGCAGGTGTTTCTTTCGGGCACAGGACTTGGGGACCATGGGATCATGTTCACCTTTATAAGATGGTGCCTCAGCTTTTTTCAGAGCAGTTCTCCCAGCCTGGCCACCAGCCGTGTGGCCTGGGGTCCAGAGTGTGGACGCTGGGCTCAGGCTGCCCACTGATTCCTGGCCGTGCTGAGGGTGAGCTTGGGTGGCCGCACAACCACTCCCTGCCTTGGCCTCCCTGCTTGTGAAGTTGGGTGTTGATGGTGCCAACCTGCAGGGCAATAAGGTTCAATGGAGTCAAAATCTGTGGAAGATGCTTGGTTTTTGCCCATCTAGCTGTGTAAAACACGGCCTCTGTGGTCTTAACATGCATTTCTCTGGTTGCCTGGGAGGCTGAGCATGTTTTCCTGTTATGAACAGGATTCGTGTTTCTTCTTCTGTGAAAAGTCGGTTCCTATTGTTGCCTATTTTTCTTTCGGCTGTATGTCTTTTTTTATTTTAATTTTAATTTATTTCTCACATAACATAACATTTACCATCTTAGGCTGAGTTTCTTAACGGCAAGCTTAGATTTCCATTTTACCCCAAAAGAATTCAACCCATCTTTCATTAGAACAAACAACCGCAATGAACTACGCTGTGGGAAATAATGTGATGACCATCTGTCTATACATACACACACACCATACCTACATACATTCCTAATTCATTTATTCACTACACAAATAAATGTTTTCATTGCCTGGTATATAAAAGATACTGTGACGGTACTGAAAAAAAATTAAAACTTATAAAAAGCTCTTTTTTCATTTTACTATCAGCTGCATTTTTTCCTCATATGAGAGTGGATTGATCTTGACCCTCTCGACCAATTATCTAGTGCCCCATTACATGTATAAGCAAGATGACTGTATTAAAGTTGGAGTGTGTGCTTTTACCAACCAGCTATGGTAGCTCAGTATATGCCTGTTGACACTGGAGGAAATGAATACTTTTACTGAAGTCTTGACAGTCACCAAATGTTTTTTCTTTGTGCCAGATCAAATTTACCTTTAAAGCCCCACTCCTGTAGGCTATGAGGTGTGAGAAAACACTTTATTTGGCACCAGGATTTTAATAAGTAATCATTGTTGCTTGATAAAGATGCTATTTTTTAAAACAAGAACTTTTTAAAGTCGATATTATTATGATTGGTTACTTGCCTTAAACTCTTTACTATCTAGGAACAGCTAATGAGAGTCTTCCATCTGGGATGCTATTGAAAACCATGTCTTTTTTTTCACAGGCACCCTAACTGATGATGGGATTCAGAAGATGTTTGACAAGCAACACGTGCTGATGTTTGCTGTGTTTGATGAAAGCAAGAGCTGGAGCCAGTCATCATCCCTAATGTACACAGTAAATGGCTATGTGAATGGGACGATGCCAGGTAACATGTAGGCTGCATGCTGTCCAACAACAGTAGAATCATTAGTACCTTTGGTTCCTTTGTTTTCCTCAAGGCACTAGCAAGTTGACCATACTCACTATTTTGCAACTCCTAATCAGAAAGGTAATGTAATCTAGATAAGTGGTTCTTGAGATTTTATCATCTTTTGTTGTTGTTGTTAAACCAGCAAGTACAACAGGCAAACTGGGGGCTACCTAAGAGAAGGCGTGTGCAGCCTTATTAGATGTAGTGCTCTGGGCAGGTTTCACCTTGGCCTGCCTCTCCAGGGAGACCTCCAGGATATAAGCTCAGTACTCTTCAGTGAGTTCTGTGGTCCCTGCTGCATGGTGACTATGCCTTCTTCCACAGAGGAAGCCCTATGGGGCAGAAGTTCAAGGTCAATCCCTAGCAGGAAGGGTCAGCAGGAAGCATGCAATGAAGACACTTACAGTGAAGATGAACAAAAGATTAGGAGAGATACCTCACTACTAGCATTTCCAAAGGTGATGGAGGAGTCATATTCAATGGCGTGTGGGATGTTTTCTCTTTCCATTTGCATGTAGACTTTTGTGAAAAAGCAAAGTCATGGCAACTGTTAAGAGAAAAAAAAAAACCAACTTACTCCCACCTAGACCATTTCTACTTCTTTCTGATGGAAGTGACTTAGAACCAAAGATCCTGAGGAAAAAAATGGAAAAATTAAAATATCACTTTATTAAATAAACCATACTTCAAAACACAAAGCTTCTCAGAGGCCATTCTCTATATCTGAAAATCACAAATGGCTTCACTTACTAAAAACAAAACTTGTCAGGAGTTGAGGTCTGGACATTGCCTTTAAATTTTATTCTATTTCATTTAACTCCACCTTCCTTTACCACGTGGGTTATTACAAACAGATGCAGCTGACTCTGGGTTTTGATTCAGAGTTCCAAAATTTACTTAACTGATGTCTACCTTGGGAGCTCTGAGTTCAAACCTTGCTCACTTCTCTACCTTAGTGTGGTCCTGAGCATTAATCATCTCAACATGCTTACTTACAAAAATGGATTAACCATCTATCCTGGTGCAGAGGGTGTTTAAGAATGTTTTTACATGTAAAATGGCATGTCCAGAACTATGGACCTTAGAGGAGAGCGGTCAAAAGAGAAATTGTGTCTGTGTCCTGGCAGAGTGAATCATCTGTGTAAAGAGATATAAGCCCCCAAAAGCAAACCATACGCACAAAAATAAAATTAATAACTTAATCAGGGCATAGAGTTTATGAATTTATAGTTGAAAAAGACAGGGTAGGGAAATGTCATCAGCAGAGACTGAGAGAAGTTAATGCATGTAAAACTGCCCTGTGCAGCAGTATAAATTGAATAAAGAGGATAAATGCTATGAGCATTCCTTTGGGGCGATAAATGCTTCCAAAGCCTTTTAGCTTCTTGTTTTCAGGTTCTATCTCCTTGTTCTCACCTGAGATACCAGGAATCCCTGTCTTGTTACAATAGTCTCCTAAAAGAGATAAACCCCTCAGCCGCTCTGTAGGTAAGGGATGGATGCTCAGCCCTGTGATCTACTGACTATGGATCTGAAATTTAAAACTCAAGCCAAGGATAGAAGCCAGGGTTGGAATCTCCTACAGAACAAATTGGCATTTTCCCAGTCACTATGGGAGCAAAGAAGGAGCAAAATTCAGCTTTTGTACTCAGTTCTTATTACTCCATCCATGAAATGCTCCTAGTGGCCCAGCATAATGAGGACTTGTCCATTGCATTTTAAAGAGAGCCTGTAACTCATAAAGTAATTCATTGCCTCATCATTAAAATAATCAACAAGTGGGTAAAGAAGCAATATAAAATCCTTAAATCATCTTCACAGGGTCTTCCCCTCAGGCAGAGCTTTGACATCTATGCAGCTGAGAGGGTTAGCCCCTTGAGCTCAGCCCTATTGGAGGTTCTGGCAACTCCCTCCAGCTAAGCCCAGATTGGTTCTAGAGTGACCTACTGCCTAGGCTTGCCCAGGACTTTCCCAGTTCTATCATTAAAAGTCCTGCATCCTGGGAAACCCCTCAGTCTTAGCAAACCAGAATGGTTGGTCATGTACTTGGTTCCCTCCTTTACCTAATGTCTTAGCAATCCCTGTGTTTTTGAAGTAACATCCCCCATCTCTGGGCTCTATTCTTTTTTTTTTTTTGCAGGGAAAGATTCACCCTGAGCTAACATCTGTTGCCAGTCTTCCTCTTTCTTTTCCCCTCCCCAAAGCCCCAGTACATGGTTGTATATCCTAGTTGTGAGTCATTCTAGTTCTTCTTTGTGAGCCACCACCACAGCATGGTAACTGACAGATAGGTGGTGTGGTTCTACAACCAGAAAGTGAACCCACCACTGAAGTGGTGGGCACTGAACTTTAACCACTAGGCCATCAGGGCTGGCTCAATCTTGGCTCTATTCTTACCTCTCTGGTACCACTTACTGCAATGAGCTATGACTGATTGTTTGCCCGTCACTCAGGAACCATAATTGGAGTGTCTATACTCCCAGAACCTTGCACAATGCCTGATGCATGGCAGGTACTCAATATGTATCTGGTGAGTGAATTTTTTATCACAGAGTGCTGACTGCTTATTTTAGGCCCCATCTCTCCCTCTCTCTCAGATATAACAGTTTGTGCCAATGACCACATCAGCTGGCATCTGATTGGAATGAGCTCTGGGCCAGAACTGTTCTCCATTCATTTCAGTGGGCAAGTCCTGGAACACAACCGTCATAAGATCTCAGCCATCAGCCTCGTCAGTGCCACAGCCACTACTGCAAACATGACTATAAGCCCAGAGGGAAAGTGGATCGTATCTTCTCTCATCCCAAAACATTTTCAAGGCAAGAAACTTTTCCAACAGCCTTGCTTATGAATGTAGGATCCTTTCTCCCCAGGCACTAACTCCCTCCTTCTCCTTTGTCCTTTCAAGCCACCCACACTCCAGAATACATGCCTTGGTCCCTGAGAACAGAATTTAGATACTCTGCTCTTAGACTTATAACCCATTAGTTGGGGATGGAGGAAGTGGAGGAATTGACAAAGATTTTAAAAAGTGAAGCAAAAGCTGAAGAGATCTCTACTTCCTCCAAAGAAGAAAGGAGGAAGGAAACAAAAATGCATACATATTCTTTCTGAGGTATTTAATATGTAGCTAAAGGAAAAGACCCAGATGCTAGAATAAGACAAACATCTGCAAATTTATAGAAGCATCAAGTTACAGAAAGTGTAAAAGTTGTAATTATCTTTTATAACAAGATGAGCACAAAGCCTGGCACAAAGAGGAACCCAATGGATGTGTGTTGAATGGATCAAACATAATGTTTAAATAGATGAGGAGTGGGCTTTAAAGAACATCAGTTAATTCTGGTGGGAAACAAAACTTGGCCCAGGTTGCTATGTGGTATCAAGTAAATAAAATAGCTAATTGTTCTAATATACATTGTTGCTTTAAAACTGTTGGGAGGAAGGTTTGTGTAAACAGAGAGTAAATTGTAAGCAAATGATATCACTACAGGAAATCATTTGTTACCCAAATAATGTGTATAAAAGCAAGATAGGTAGGAAGAGACGCTTCAGGGGATCATTTCGTTTTCTTTTTGCCCTGAGCGGTCAAAATTATACTTGAAGTGATGAAACTGTCACAATATCCCTGGGAGACAGAGTCCCAAATAGTGATGAAATAACAACAACAATAACATTACTGAGGTTGAACTTTTTGTGTATTAGCTTATTTAATTTTTAACAACAATTTCATACAGTATGTACTAATATTATCTTCATTTTACTAATAAAGGAACAGATGACAGGCAAAATGAGACATCAGTAAGACCTAAGTCATGAGGTTTTAAGGATCTGGAAATTACAAAGAATTTTCTTTCTCTAGAAGAAACAAAAGCTATCTTTTCAAATTTTTTCCCTAATCCATCCTTTCTTTGCCTTGCTTTTTATTCTTGCCCCTTTCCCTATTGTATTGAAAAAGCTCCAAACCAAAATGTCCAAAAGTTGCCTGAGCATTACTTTCGCTGCTATTATTTAAACCTTCCACAAATTTATTTAAAAGATATGCATTTTGATCAGCCTTAATTTCTTCTCTCAAATTCTGTCACTGTCTTTATGTCCTCACTCAGCTGGGATGAAGGCTTACTTAGACATTAAAAACTGCGCAAAGAAAACCCGGAATCCTAAGAAACTAACTCGTGACCAGAGGCGGCATATTAAGAGGTGGGAATACTTCATTGCTGCAGAGGAAGTCATTTGGGATTATGCACCTGTAATACCAGCGAACATGGACAAGTAAGTTTTGGAGATTCTTATGACTGTGCAAAGATTCAAGATATGTTCCATAGGATCCTAGATGTGTGGGGTGAAATGTCATGAGTTGACAGCTCTCAAGGAGTAAATGTATTGGATTCCATTCAGGTCTTGATATTCAAATCAGTATAGAGTTACCCCAAACTCACCAAGGGAATTCAGCATAATTATAATAACAGTAGTAGTAGCAGCAGCAGCAGCAGTAGTCATAGCAGCTACCACTTGTTGAATGCTTGCTATTCCAAACACTATGTTAAACCCTTTATAAAACCTCCACTGTAACTCTACAAGTTAGAAACAGCTCTTATTTATTTTGTAGATTAGGAAATTGCTCAGAGAGATTGAGAAATCTGGAAATTCAAATAGCTCTTAAACACTTTTAAAAATACTCAAGCTCACTCACCATAAGAAAATGCAAATTAAACTTCTATAAATACTATTTTTCACCTATCAGACCTACAAGTCCAGGTAACATAATCTGTTGGCAAGGTTGTGGGAAACAAACACTATCGTATATTGCTGGTGGAAGAGTAAATTGGAAAAGCTACTCAAGAGGATAATTTGGCAATATGTATCAAAATTATAAACACATATACCCTTTGACCCAACAATCTCACCCTGGGAATTTATTATATAGATATACTTGTTCACAGGTGAAATAATGTATGTACCGGATTTTCAATGCTGCACTGTTAGTACCATCAAAAAATTGGAAACAAGACCTGGTGGGAGCCCTCCCAAGGGCCAGAAGGGAGCCACACCCATCTACATACCTGGGAAAAATGTCCATCAATAGGAAAGTAGTTTAATAAGTATGGTACATTGATACAATGAAATACTATACATCTGTTTAAAAAAGGATGCAAACACTCTAAGTACTAATATAAAAAGTTCTCCAATATATATCGTCAAATTAAAAAGTCAAGGGAGCAAGATAGCGGAATAGGAGGTGCCCCATTCATGTCCCCCCACAGCAACAGTAATTTGACAGCCATCTACAAAAAAAAGTGCTTTTGTGAGAGCTTTGGAATCTAGGCAGGAACTTACAAAATCCTGGTGGAAGCTCCTCTGAGGGCTGTTTTGAGATGGCAAGTCCATGCTCAGGTGGTAAGTTTGCTGACTGCTGCCCTAGCTACAAATCTGGACACACGTTCATCCACTTCGGGACTTGGCCTTGGTCCTGCCATGAGCACCATTTGACAAGGGACTCAGGAGGAATCTCACCTGTCCATGATGCTGGAGGCTAGCCTGCAGAACTCAGTCTGACTATGGATCTTGAAGCAGCCCCAAAGCCAGCTCCAGCCTCTCCCAGCCATGGTCTAGGAGTAGTCCTGCCTGCTCAAGGACTCACTGGGAGTCACACCAATCCATGCTCTGGAGGCTGGCCTACAGACCTTGGTCCCAGTGCAGATCTTAAAGCAGCCCTGTAACCCAGGTCCAGCCCTCCCAACTGCAGTCTAGGAGCAGTCCTGCCCACCCAGGGACCCACCCAGTGACCTGGTGGGAGCCCTTCCAAGGTCCAGATGATAGCCACACCCATGCACACACCTAGTAAAAGTCCCGTCATTTGTGAACTCCAACTGCAGCCCTTGAAGTGAACCATTATCCCAGTGTACCAGCTTTACTGATGAAGGTCCTGGAGGCAGTCCCATCTTCCCAGGGACCAGAGAGAATCCATGCCAACCTGAGCCCCTGGGAAAAGGCCTTCCAATCACAGACACTGCTGCAGGCCCAGTAGCAGCCACATGACCTGGTTCCAACCTCATTCAATTGGGATCCCAGAGGCAAGCCCATCAGCCCAGAGACCTGACAGGAGAAGGTCTTTACCTACCAAAATCAGTCTTTAAAGACTGGAAGAGGGTGTTTGCTCCTTCACATGCATAGACATCAACACAAGGCTATACGAATCACAAAGAATCAGGCAAATATGACACCACATAAGGAAACTAATAAATCTCTAGTAACTGATGTGAAATAAGGAGGTCTACAAATTGTCTGGCAAGGAATTCAAAATAATCATCTTAAAGAAGCTCAATGAAGTGCAAGAGAACATAGATGGGCAACTAAACAAAATCAGGAAAACAATGCATGAACATAATGAGAAGTTTAATAAAGAAATAAAAACTGTAAAAAATAATCAAACAGAAATCCTGGAGCTGAAGAATACAATGACAGAAGTGAAAAATTCAATAGAGAACTTTAGTAACAGACTCAATCATGCAGAAAAAAGACTTAGCAAACTCAAAGACAGATAATTTGAAATTATCCAGTTACAGGAACAAAAAGGAAAAGAATGAAAAAGAGTGAAGAAAGTTCACAGGACCTATGGGATACCATCAAAAGGACTAATCTATGCATCATGAGAGTCCCAGAAGGATAAGAAAGACAGAAAGGGGCAGAAAGCTTATTTAACGATAATGGCTGAAAACTTCCTAAATCTTGGGAGGTATATGGATATACAGATTCATGAAGCTCAAACGACTCCAAGCAAGATCTACCCAAAGAAGATTACCCTGAGACATGTTATAATCAAATTGTCAAAAGTCATAGACAAAGAATTCTGCAAGCAACAAGAGATAAGCAATTGCCATATACAAGGGAACCCCCATAAGGCTATCAGCAGATTTCTCAGCAGAAACCTTTTGGGCTAGGAGAGTGTGGGATGATATATTCAAGGTGCTGAAGAAAAAAAACCCTGCCAGCCAAGAATGCTATACTTAGCAAAGCTGTCCTTCAGAAATGGAGAGATAGAGACATTCCAGACAAAGAAAAGCTGAGGGAGTTTGACATCACTAGACCTGCCTTACAAGAAATGCTAAAGGGAGTTCTTCAAGGTGAAATGAAAGGATTCTAAGTAACAACATGAAAGTATAAAATTCTCCAGTAAAGGTAAATATACAGTCAAATTCAGAATATTTTAATACTATAATGGTGGGGCACAAATCACTTTTAACTCTAGTGTAAAAGTTAAATGCTAAAGTATTAAAATCACTAAAGCTACAACACTTTGTTAAGGAATACACAATATAAGAAAGATGTAAAGTTTGACTTCAATAACATAAAATGTGGGGAGGTATAATAGTGTACAGTTTTTTACATGATTGAATTTAAGTTGTTATAAGCTTAAAATAAACTGTTAGAACTACAAGATTTTTTTTGTAAGCCTCATGGTAAACACAAAGCAAAAACCTCTACTTCAAGTAGATATGCAAAACTGAAAGAGAAAGGAATAAAAGCATGCCATGCAAAAAAAATCAACAAATCACAAAGGAAAACAGCAAGAGAGGAAGAGAGGAACAAAAGAATTACCAAAAAGTCAGAAAACAATTAACAAAATGGCACTAGTAAGTCCTCCTCTATCAGTAATTGCTCTAAATGTAAGTGGACTAAGTTCTCCAATCAAAAGACACAAGGTGGCTGAATGGATTTTAAAAAAACGAGTTCCAATAATATGCTACCTACAAGAGATTCACTTTAGCTCTAAGGACACACATAGGTTAAGAGTGAAGGGATAAAATGATAGTCCATGCAAATAGTAACCAAAGGAGAGCAGGGCTGTACTTATATAAGACAAAATAGACTTTAAGTCAAACTGTCATAAGAAACATGGTCACTATGTAACAATAAAGGAGTCAGTTCATCAAGAGGTTATAACAATTGTAAATACATATGCACCCAACATTGAACCATTTAAATATATGAAGCAAATATTAACAGAACCTAAGGAAGAAATACACAGCAATACAGTAATAGTGGGGGACCTTAATACCTCACTTTAAACAATGGATAGATCATCCAGACTTAAAATCAATTAGGAAACAGTGGAATTGAATAACACTATAGACCAAGTGGACCTAAGAGACATATAAAAAACATTCCATCTAACAGCAGCATTTCCAAGTGCACATGGAACATTCTCTAGGATACATCATATGTTAGGCCACTGAGAAGACTGAAATCATACCAAGTATCTTTTCTGACTACAATGGAATGAAACTAGAAATCAATAACAGAAGGAAAATTGGAATATCCACAAGTATGTGCAAATTACACAACAGTCTCCTGAACAACCAATGGGTCAAAAAAAGAAATCAAATGGGAAATCAAAAAATATATTGAGACAAATGAAAATGGAAACACAACATACCAAATCTTATGGGATACAGCAAAACTTATGGGATGCAGCAGAACAGTTGTAAGATGCCTACATTTAAAAAAATAATAAAGATCTCAAATAAAAAACCCAATTTTATACCACAAGGAACTAGAAAATAAGAGCAAAAGCCCAAAGTTAGCAGAGGAAGGTAACAAAGATTAGGGAAGAAATAAATAACTAGAAAGACAATAGAAAAGATCAACATAACTAAGATTTGGCTTTTTGAAAAGATAAACAAAGTTGACAGACTTTTAGCTAGAATAACCAAGGACTAAAATAAATAAAATTATAATTTTGAACAATTATATACCAACAAATTGGATAACCTAGAAGAAATGAATAAATTCCTAGAAATATACACCCTGCCAAGACTGAATCATGAAGAAATAGAAAGTCTGAACAGACCAAAAACAAGTAAGAAGACCGAATCAGTAATCAAAAACTTCCAGACTAAGAGAAGCCTAGGACCAGATGCTTCTTGGGTGAATTATACCAAACATTTAAAGAAGAATTAACACTAATCCTCAAACTCTTCCAAAATGTTAAAGAGGAAGGAACACTTCCAAACTTATTGTACATGGCTGGCATTACCCTCATACTGAAAACAGATGAGGACACTACAAGAAAAGAAAATTATAGGCCAATATTCCTGATGAACATAGATGCAAAAATCCCCCATAAAATATTAGCAAAGCAAATCCAAGAGCACATTGAAATGATCATATGACATGACCAAGTGAGATTTATTCCTAGAATGCATGGATGGTTCACCATTCACAAATAAATAAATGTAATACATCACATTAAAAGAATGAAGAATAAAGATCATATGATCATCTCAGTAGAAGTACAAAAAGCATTTGACAGAATTCAACGCCGTTTAATGATAAAAACTCTCAACAAGTTAGGTGTAGAAGGAATGTACCTCAACATAATAAAGGCCATTTATGACAAACCCAAAGCTAACATATACTCAATGGTGAAAAGCTGAAAGCTTTTCCTCTAAGGTCAGGAACAAGACAAGGGTGCTTACTTGCACCACTTTTATTCAGCATAGTACTAGAAAGCCTAGCCAAAGCAATCAAGCAAGAAAAAGAAATAAAAGGCATCCAAATCAGAAAGAAAGAAGTAAAATTGTCTCTATTTGCAGATAATGTAATTTTATATATAGAAAACCATTAAGACTCCATTAAAAACCTATTAGAACTAATAAAGAATTCAGTAAGTTCCAGGATACAAAGTCAGCATACAAAAATCAGTTGCATTTAAGTACACTAACAATGAACTATCCAGAACAGAAGTTGAGAAGACAAACACTTTTACAATAGAATGAAAGAAGAATAAAATACTTAGGAATAAATTTAACGCTGGAGGTGAAAGATCTACACACTGAAAACTATAATACACTGACAAGAGAAATTGAAGAATCCACAGTCGAATAGAAAGATGTCCCATGTTCATGGATTGGAAGAATTCATTTTGTTAAAGTATCCATACTACCCAAAGCAGTCCACAGATTCAATGAAATCCCTATCAAAATTCCAATGGTATTTTTCACAGAAATAGAAAAAACAATCCTGAAATTCATATGGAACCGCAAAAGACCCTGAATTGTCAAAGCAATCTTGAGCGAGAAGAACAAGCCTAGAAGCATCATACTTCCTAATTTCAAACTATATTACAAAGCTATAGTAATCAAGTTATAATGATGGCATAAAAACAGATGCTTAGACCAATGGAACAGAATCAATTGCCCAGAAATAAACTCATGCATATATGGTAAACTAACAAAGTGACTCTGACAAGGACACTAAGAATACACAATGGGGAAAAGATAGTCTCTTCAATAAATGATGTTGGTAAAACTGGATATCCACATGCAAAAGAATGAAATTGGGCCCTTAGCTTACAGTATACACAAAAATGAACTCAAAATGAACTAAAGACTTATATGTAAAACCTTAATCCATAAAACTCCTAGGAGAAAAACATAAGAAAAAAGCTCTCTGACACTGGTCTTTGCAATGATTCTTTTGGATATGACACCAAAAGCACCAGCAACAAAAGCAAAAATAAACAAATGAGACTACGTCAAACTAAAAGGCTTCTGCACTGCAAAAGAAACAGTTAACAAAATGAAAAGGCAATCTATGGAATGGGAGAAAATATTTGCAAGCCATATATCTGATGATGTATTAATATCCAAAATATATAAGGAACTTATATAAATCAATGGCAAAAAAAAAAAAAAAAACCACAAAACAACCTGATTTAAAAATGGGCAAATGACTTAAATTGACATTTTTCCAAAGAAGACATACAAATGACAAATATGTGTATAAAAAAGTGTTCAACATCACTAATCATCAGTGAAATGCAAATCATATCCATGGTGAGATACCACCTCATACCTGTGAGGATGGCTATTATGAAAAAGAAAAGAGAGATCAAGTGTTAGTAAGGGTGTGGAGAAAATGGAATTATTGTACACTGTTGGTGAGAATGTAAATTGGCACAGCTACTATAGAAAACAATATGGAAGTTCCTCAAAACATTAAAAACAGAATTACCATATGATCCAGCAACCCCACTTCTGGGCATATATCCAAAGGAAATGGAATCAGTATCTCAAAGAGATATCTACACTCCCATGCTCACTGCAGTGTTATTCATGATAGCCAAGATATGGAAACAACCTGAATGTCTGTGGATGGATGAATGTATAAAGAAATAATGGAATATTATTCAGCCTTTAAAAAGAAGGAAATCCTGCCATTGGCAATAACATAGATGAATCTGAAGACATTATGTTAAATGAAATATTCCACACAGAATGACAAATACTGCATGATCTCACTTATATGTGTAATCTAAAAAAGTCAAACTCACAGAAGCACAGAGTATAATGGTGGTTGCCAGGGCCTGGGGGGGTGGAGGGGTGGGGGTGAGGGGAATGGGGAGATGTTGATCAAAGTGTACAAACCTTCGGTTATAAGATGAGTAAGTTCTGGAGACCTAATATACAGCATGGTGGTTATAGTCATTAATACTGTATGTATACCTGAAATTTGTTAAGATAGTAGATCTTAAGTGTTCTCTGCACAAAAAAGAACTAGTAACTAGGTGAGGTGATGGAAGTTTTAATTAGCTTGAGTGTGGTAATCACATATATACGTATATAAATCATCATGTTGTACACCTTAAATATATACCATTTTTATTTGTCAATTATACTTTAAAAATGCAGAAAATGCCAAAAAAAGTCAGAGTGTAGCACAGAGTATATTAATGGCTGCCTTTTGTTAAAGGCAGTGAGAGAATAAGAATATTTATATTTGCCAGTCATATTTGCATAAAGATGTTCTGGAATTATAGGAAATTAATGCAAGTGAATATTTAGAAAATGCAGGAAGGGTTAGGGGGATGGCATTAAGGGGTATAGCATGTGAGTGAGAGTTTTTACTGTAATCAAAATCATTTAAATGTATTCAAGAAACTCAGCTGAGAAAAAGATCATAAAAGGAACTTGCTCAAGATTATGTAATAATAACTGACAGAATTGAGATAGGAATCCAGGACTCTCTGGAAACAATTTTTTTTCGAGGAAGATTAGCCCTGAGCTAACTACTGCCAGCCTCCACTTTTTTGCTGAGGAAGCCTGACCCTGAGTTAACATCCGTGCCCATCTTCCTCTACTTTGTATGTGGGACACCTACCACAGCATGGCTTGCCAAGTGGTGCCATGTCTGCACCCGGGATCCGAACTGGCGAACCCCGGTCCACCGAGAAGTGGAACTTGTGAACTTAACTGCTGCACCACTGGGCTGGCCCCACAATTAGTGCTTCTTATTGTACAAAATAAATGCATAAAACGGATAAACTCTATCATGGAGCTTCTACTTTTGCAAACTAAGGCAATAAAGAGGACCAAGGGGAAAAGTGGTTCATGTTGCTGCTCCCAAATCATGTATTGCAGTAGCTACGGAGGATGGGCGAAGGTGGTTGCTTTTCAGTTGGCACTGGGATTGGATGGATGGTAGAAGGGATAGCCCAACAGTACAGAACTATGTTTAGTAAAGATAGTAAAAGCTTTCTGAAGTGGGAAAGTGCTTTTAGAAATTGAGAAATACCTAGAAAGCCAATAAGGATACCATAAATTAAATGATACGGAAGACTTAAGAAAAGTTCATAGTGTATGCTATCCTTCCATCCAGGTAGATGTCTTCCAAGATATATTTGCGGTCTACTCTAGCAACCAGAGGGACAGGCAAATCTAAGTGGCTGCTTCTAACCTTGACTATGACTTTATCAATGGTGGAGGAAACAGATCAGAGGTTTCCAGTTTTCCAGCTAGGGAGAAGATATCAGGACTTTGCAAACCACATTTAGAATTTTTTAAGAAAACCACCATTTTAGCTAATCCAAGAGCAGAATTTATAAGCACAATGATTTCCCCATCCTACTGGGGTCTCTACTTGAGAAAATGGTTTAATTTTTTTTTTATTTCATTTCACTTTAAGAAAATACAGATCTCTGCATTTGGATAATTTCTCAAACCGAATTGGGAAACACTACAAGAAGGTTGTCTACAAACAGTACCAAGATGAGTCCTTCACCAAATATCTGGAGAATTCCCACAGCAAAGAAGACGGGATCTTGGGCCCTGTTATCAGAGCCCAGGTCAGGGACACACTCAAAGTAAGTAACAGAAATATAGAACCATGGAAGAAATAGTGAAAGGCAGATTATAAGTACTGGTTACTTGTTTATTTTAAGAAGAAAAATAAGTCCGTATAATTTTTAATTCAAATGCAGCTTTTAGTTTTTAGTCAGTATTTGCACTTATGTATAGCCTACTTGATAATACAAAGGATCTGAAACAGTTTATCAGATTATAAAGGAATAAAACAAAGAGTCGATGTAATTGGGGTGGAGGATAATATGGGACAAAGAAAGTAAAGCCAAAAATAAGTATAATGAAACACATACCATATGCTCCTATAAGGTTGTCTGCAAATTTTGTCTTAAGTTTTCTAGTAACCAAAGTAAGAGGGGAAACACGTCAGAGCAAGCTTCACAGTAATCATAAAAGAAGCACAGTTTCTGCTGCTACTGAGACCTAAGAGGACTTTCTCCCATGGATCCTTAAAAAGAGGATGCTGTGTAATGCAGTGGATGGAATCCTTAATAAAATCCCTCAACTGGTACAATAAATTTAAAAGTTGCATAGCTTTTAAAAATAATGTTTCTCATTATAGTTGAGAAGATAATAGTAAATGCAACTGAGTCAAAACAATTCTTCAATGTGATCTAGGTATGTGCTCTGAGGACTGGTCTCTGATGAAGATACATTTAGAAACGTATCAAGAGTGCTGAGTCTTCAGACAGTTTTCCTTAAATGTTAGGCTCACATCATCAAGCTTTTGATAAGAACTGGGCAGCAGAGAACTGAAGGTTGCAATCTTTGGCAAAATTCTAGAATGCAGATAATCTACAGATTAGGGATGATTTAGATGCTTTGGCAATCACCCATGTGGAAGATAAGATTAAGGTTCTCTTTTGAAGATTAAGGAACCTAACTAAGACTCCTGTGTGAATAATGCTCCTCCGGTCACCTCTTCATGGGGGTGAACTCAGAGAATACCTACAGACAAGGCCAATTCTGTTCACTTAAAAATAACAAAAGGACAGAAAGCAGCCTTTCTCTGTTCCTCTTTCCCTTTCCCTATTTCTGATCCCTTTTAGGTGCTCTTAGCAAGTGTAAATTACCTCATTGGAAATTTACGATCTGGCTATTTGTCATGCCTCTCAAGAAGATGGCTTCAAGGACAGTGGTTCTAGGAGATCTGGCAGTCTAGATCATGATCTAGAAAGAAGGAGCAGATTCAAAGGTAGATGTGGTTCAAGCTGAAAAGAGAGGGGAAGAGAGATGGGGACCAGCGTGGAAAAGGTGATATACTGTAAAGAAAATGTCACTTCTAAGGTCAAACTACTCTTTCCATTTTCTACCTTACTGAGTGAGTGAAACTCAAATGCTTCTGTCTGGTAATGGGGACAGGTTGCTGTCAGATAAACAGAACTAGTTTGCATACACACACACATACCATCCAACAAGTGAATATGCAAAGCTAGCATCCTATGTTAATTCTCATAATCGACCTTAAATCCTGAAGTAATGAATTTGAGTTACTTTGTAGATCGTGTTCAAAAATATGGCCAGCCGCACCTACAGCATTTACCCTCATGGAGTGACCTTCTCTCCTTATGAAGATGAAGTCAACTCTTCCTTGACCTCAGGTTTGAACCTTTCACTTCTATGGAATGAAACTATTGGCCGCTATATTTTTCTACTGTCCTCCTTGCCCAGCAGTATAACTTGTACGGTAGGTAGTATACATGTAGGGGTATCCTAAAAGTCACAACCAAACCCTGCTCATTTCAGGGATTTTGTTTACCCTAGTGGTTACAAAATATGGTGTCCTCTGTTAGTGCCATAGCGGCCTCTAGTGGAGCAACATCTAATGGCTACATGCTGTCAAGGATTCTATCAAGTGGAGCTTAATATAAAAATAATATTCCTGACATTTCCCTTAGCATAATACCCTCAAGTTCCATCCGTGTTGTCACAAATGGCACAATTTCGTCTTTTTTATGCCTGAGTAGTATTCCATTGTGTGTATATACCACATCTTCTTTATCCATTCATCCAGTCAAAAAATGGGCAGAGGATATGAACAGACATTTTTCCAAAGAGGATATACAGATGGCCAACGGGCACACGAAAAAATGTTCGACATCACTAATTATTAGGGAAATTCAAATCAAAACTACAATTGAGATATCACCTCACACTCATCAGAATGGCTGTTATTAAAAAGATGAAAAATAACCAGTGTTGGAGAGGATGTGGAGAAAAAGGAACCCTCATACACTGCGGGTGGGATTGTAAATTAGTGCAGCCACTATGGAAAACAGTATGGAGATTTCTCAAAAAGTTAAAAATAGAACTATCATATGATCCAGCTATTCCACGTCTGAGTATTTATCCAAAGAAAAGGAAAACACTAATTTGAAAAGACATATGCACCCCTACATTCATTGCAGCATTATTCACAATAGCCAAGACTTGGAAGCAAACTAAGTGCCCATCAATGGATGAATGGGTAAAGAAGATGTGGTATATATATACAATGGAATACTATTCAGCCATAGAAAAAGATGAAATTGTGCCATTTGCTACAGCATAGAGGGACCTTCAGGGTGTTATGCTAAGTGAAATAAGTCAGATGGAGAAAAACAATTACCATAAGGCTTCACTTATATGTGGAAGATAAACAAACAAGCAAACACATAGATACAGAGAATAGATTGGTGATTATCAGAGGTGAAGGGGGCAAGGAGAGGATGAAAGAGGTAAAGGGCACATGTGTATGGTGGCACAGAGAAACTAGACTTTGGTGGTGAACATGACATAGTCTATACAGAAGTCAAAATATAATGATGTACACCCGAAATGTATATAATGTTATGAGCCAGTGTGGCCTCAATAAAGTAAATTTAAAAAAAGAATATTCCTTTCCCAATATTAATTGGTTCTAATGAGAGTTCAGCTGTTTATTTATTTACTTATTTTCATTAAATAATTTCGAAAATGAGAACAATTTTTTGACTACATTTTCTTTCAGGCAATAACACCATGATCAGAGCAGTGAAACCAGGGGAAACCTATACTTATAAGTGGAACATCCTAGAGTCTGATGAACCCACAGAAAATGATGCCCAGTGCTTAACAAGACCATACTACAGTAATGTGGACATCACGAGGGACATTGCCTCTGGGCTGATAGGACTACTTCTAATTTGTAAGAGCAGATCCCTGGATAAGCGAGGCATACAGGTATTTTGTCATTGAAGTAACTTTTCAGAAGTTCCAGGAATTTCTTCTGGCTGGAACAGATTGGGTCTTCTTGCTAAATAATGAGGCTTTTCCTTCTAGAGAATGGAAAAGATTAAGTAGTCCTCTTTAGCACAAATGTGAGGATGTTTATTCCTTTGGTTAGATTTTTGTTTTGCCTCTTTTCACCTAGACTCTCACTGCAGAAAGTTAGCCTACTGTGTGATACTGTATTTTGTTCTAGTCTCAAATTCCAGGTCTGTTGGTATTGGCTATGTGATGAGCAAGTCACTTAGCCTCTCTTAATTTCTTCCTGTTATCAAATAGGTAATCCCCCTCCTAAAAATTTTATAGGGTTGTTTTGGGGCTCAGTGAGATACTACCTGGTAAAAGTGTAAAGCTCTGTACCAATCTTTGCTATTTTAAGAGCACCACACTAGGGAGAGAGAAGAGAGATCCACTCAGAGACAAATCTTCTAGTAAAGTTGGACCTAGACGATGGTCCATCTCTAGTGAGTTACCCAGAAGAATGAGAACAAACATATGGATCTTCTGACTTTATCTTCATTGAAGAATAATAGTCTCATATTATTAACATAAAATTCCCAGACAATTAGGCTAAGCTATAATCAAAGAAATCTCATCCTAATGCATGCAAAATACATAAATACCTAGAAAAATCAGAGATGGGCACTTGGAAGACCTTAATTTATTGAGCTGGGAAAAGAAAGATGTAGGGGGAGGTATAAAGCTTTCCTATTGCAACCTCCTGTTTTATCCTTTGCAACTATTTGGACCACATCCAGTCAGTCATTTAGGTTGAAAGGTGTTCAGTTACAGAGATAAACAGGATTATAGTTGCCTTGATGAAATGGGATTTTTCTATTAAGATATTTTAGTTTCTGAATTTTCTGATCTGCTCTGTTTGCTTTGGCACATTATCTTTGGCCCTAACAAGGGCTGTGTACACAATAGGCTCTCATAAATGCCTGCATTTGTGGCTTCAGTGGCCCCAAGGGCTGTGCCCCGTTGGTTTCTGAGAAGATATCAGGGTTGTAGGTAATCGGCTGGAACACTAATCACTGAACACAGCACTTTTACCCTCCAGAGGACAGCAGACATTGAGCAGCAGGCTGTGTTTGCTGTGTTTGATGAGAACAAGAGCTGGTACATTGAGGACAACATCAACAAGTTTTGTGAAAATCCTGATAAGGTGAAACGTGATGACCCTAAGTTTTATGAATCAAACATCATGAGCAGTAAGTTGGAGTACTGTTTCTGTCCATCAGTTTTTCACTCCTGTGGTTGAAGTACGACTATGCCTAGAGGCAAAGACATGGATTAGAATCCACTCACCCCTTATCTTCACTTCCAGTCCAGGGATTTGGTGATGAAATTACTGGGTGATATTATAGCAATCTTTTTGAGATCAAAAGCTTGTTATCCTTAGAAGTCTTGTTGGTCTCTTGCTCCAAATGTGTGTGGATGTGTGTGTGCATGTGCACATTCTCTGGGCAGAGAAAAACAGGGGGAGGGGCAGGGGTGGCAAAGGAAGAGGCTACAGGCCTTGGTCAGTGGTACCTAGGTGCAAGGGGAGTACTCTTCATGGCCAGGGCAGAAACAAGGAAAGTAATCCAAAGCTGGATTATCCAATCAAACTAAGGCAAAATGCATATGAAGAGCTAAGAGTCTTGAAAGTCAGTCCATGAAGAGGTTTGAAGTGAGTAGTAAGAAGTTCAGAACAGAAGAAATTCCCTGAGCCAAGGTTCAGGCATTTGCTGCAGTTTTGAAGTTTGGGTGTCCAAAGCCACTGCTGTGGGAAGTCTGAGAGAAATTTCACTGAGCCAGCTAGGAGCAAACTTCTCCACAATGGTCAGGATCCCCGCTGCTGCTCCTCAGAGTTGAGAGTCACTATGATCACCTCCTCTGATAGGTAATCAGAGGTATGAGGATGATTTCTCCATGGTCTATTCGTATAGCTGCAGATGACTGACAACTGGCAACTATCAGAACTGGCAAGTGCCATGAGAATAATTCCAAGCAGGGAGTTATTCTCAGCTTTCTTTGCATAATTTTATTTTGGCAGTGAATCTGTGCTGTCCATTAGAAATTATGTATGAGCCACAAATGTAATTTAAAATTTTCTAGTATCCATGTGAAAAATGAAAGAGAAGTAGGTGAAATTAATTTTAATAATGGGTTTTATTTAATATGATATATCCTAAATATCATTTCAACATATAATCAATGTAAAACATTAATAAGATTTACTTTATTTCTTACTAAATCTTTGAAATCTGGTGTGTAATGTACATTTACAGCACTCTCAATCCAGATTACCCACATTTCAAGTGCTCAATAGTCACTTGTAGCAAGTGGCTACCGTATTGCACAGTGCAGCTATAGATCATTTAGAAAAGGGTCCTGAGGGACATACAGACTAAAAACGTATTTATCAGTTATTCAGTAAATGTGTAAGTGCTCACCACTTCCAGCCCAGGCATTATACTGGGGTTAGGGCTATAGTGGTAACCCAGGCCAACATGGATCCCATCCTCAGAAATCATACCTGTGATTTCATTACCATGCTTAGTACATAAGTAAAGATACTGCCTAAAGCTGTGTCCCTTTGAAAGATAATGAAAATATATGAACTCGATACTTGAATGAAAACTATAGATTACATAAATGCTAAGAGGGAGCAATAAAAATTGCAAAATATGTTAAATATACTTCATTTTTAGGGACATCACTTCTTATTCAATAACTAATGTGTCAAGAAGATGAGTTCCTTATATTATCGCTTTTCCTCCAGGTAGAATTATTTTAGATAATATTCAAAGTTGATCTTCAGAATATCAAACGTGGAGCACAATCTATTTTATATACACTTGACGAATGAGTAAATCAACGTGAATGAAGGGCCTTGTCTTTATTCTGACATTTCTCCCTTGGCTAACTTACGAAAATAAGCTCTCATTTGGGAAGTCTGAGTTTGATCCTCTAGTCACATGTCAGACCTGGTAAAGCTTATCTCAGATAATCACAGCTTTGACGCAACCAAATTAACATCGGGACATTTAAGTCTAATTAGACACATGGCCTTTTGTTGGCTTAAGCCTGGTGTTCTAATAGATTTTACTTTCTCAGCTATCAATGGCTATGTGCCTGAGAGCATATCCACACTAGGATTCTGCTTTGATGACACTGTCCAGTGGCACTTCTGCAGCGTGGGAACCCAGGATGACATTTTGACCATTCACTTCACTGGGCACTCGTTCACCTACGGAAAGAGGCATGAGGACACCTTGACGCTCTTCCCCATGCGTGGTGAATCTGTAACCGTCACAATGGATAATGTTGGTAAGAGCCGGGGTCACTCAGAGGAATCTCTGGTCTATAAAGGTCCACTGCAGCTTTCCACATTACGAGACCTCCTGGGTTTATCTTTCTGATGCCTTGCAGGATTCCCTTTCAATACTTTTCATGATTTCTTTTTGGGAAATTAATGACTTAAATAGACCCAGTCCTTTAATGTGAGTTCCATTTATTCTTCTCTGGGCTAAGTGAGAAGTAAAGCACATAACAGCAGAAAGATAAGGCATAACTTTGATGTAGGAAGCATGAGCATTCAGCCACAAAAGAGCATTTCTTTGATCAAAATGTCCCTTTCAGTTTTTTTTTTTAAAGATTTTTTTTTCCCTTTTTCTCCCCAAAGCCCCCCAGTACATAGTTGTACATTCTTCGTTGTGGGTCCTTCTAGTTGTGCCATGTGGGACGCTGCCTCAGCGTGGTTTGATGAGCAGTGCCATGTCCGCGCCCAGGATTCGAACCAACGAAACACTGGGCCACCTGCAGCAGAGCGCGCGGACTTAACCACTCGGCCACGGGGCCAGCCCCGTCCCTTTCAGTTTTTTAAGACAGCCATCCCACCCAAGGGTTGGTCATCATCAGATACAGTGCCTTAGAGGCTGGCCTCAGAGACGGCACATGTCATGGAAACCAGGCAGGCTTTGGAGTTCATCACATCTGGGCTCAGATCCTGCTCTGCCACTCATTATTTGTGTAACTTTGGACAACTTACTCCACCTCACTGAACCTCAGTTTATTCATCTGAAAAGCAGAATAACAACCACTTACAGAGTTGCTTTGATCATAAATTGCAGTATGGGTCAAGTTCCTTGTGCTCAGTAGACACTCCACAAGTGGTGACTACTGGAGACTTCCCAGGAAATCGTCAGTGTACCAGAAAACCATACCATTTCAAAGAGATTCAAAACTTCCCTGGGCCCACCTGAATTATTTATTACTTGGAAATATCTAAATGTCGCTTATTTGTGGGGGTAAACCTCATAATCTTCTCCCTAACTCCAATTCTCAAACAAGATGTGCAGCTAACAAGATGTTTATGATATTTAAAGTCAATTTGATTCATCCCTTTTTGAACACATTCTAAAATAGTTACTCTCAAACTCTCTGTGCTTAAAGTTTTTTCTCCCTAATCTCCACTGACCAATCCTTTGGGTCTGTATTCTGTTAAATGAGATAAGCGCACTGATCGCATGCTTGGAGGTCACAGCAAGATCAGATTGCTTAAAAGTTCCCTGAACACTTTACCCTCAGTTTCTCTCCTGTATCACTGTGGAACAGTAATCAGCAGTTCACAGATCAGCAGTGGTTCACAGACCACACTTGAGTATCCCTGGCTAAAGTTCCTTGGAAATGATCTGCCACAATGGATCCTGGAGTTTTTATATCTTTTTCTGGACTTAGAGCGTTGTGTTCTCTCTGTGTCTCTTCTGCAGGAACTTGGATGTTAACTACCATGAATTCCAATCCAAGAAGCAAAAACCTAAGGCTGAGATTTAGGGATGTTAAGTGTATCCTGGATGATGGTGAAGGCTCATATGAGTTTATATTTCAACCTCCAGAATCTACAGCCATCACTACAAGGAAAATGCATGATTCTTCAGAAAACAGCAATGAAGAGTTTGATGCTGACTACGACTACCAGAACAGACTGGCTTCATTATTTGGAATTAGGTCATTCAGAAATTCATCATTGAATCAGGAGGAAGATGAGTTCAATCTTACTGCCCTAGCTCTGGAGAACAACTCGGAATTCATTCCTCCAAGTACTGATACAGCTGGTGGTTCAAATTCTTCTTCCCCAAGTAACATTAGCAGGCTCATTGCCAATAACTTTGCAGACCATCAGAAAAATATTTCTCACCCAGAAGCCACCACAGCTGGTACCCTCCTGGGACACATTGGCTTAGATAAGAACTTAGTTCTCAACCCTTCCACAGCAGAGAATTCCAGCTCTTATTCTGAAGACCCTATAGAGGATCCTCTACAGTCAGATGTCACAGGGATAAGCCTACTCCCACTTGATGCAGAAGGATTCAGAAGTCAAGAACATGATAAACATAAGGGATTCAGGGCAGGAAGAGACCAAGTAGTAAAGCACAGGTTCTCCCGGATGGAATTTCCAGCACATAAAACTGGGAGACATTTAAGCCAAGGCAACACTTCTCCTTCCAGAATGGGGCCCAGGAAGGACCTTCCCAGTGATCTATTACTTTTAAAACAAAAGAATCCGTCTAAGATTTTGAATGGGAAATGGCATTTGGTTTCTGAGAAAGGTAGTTATGAAATAATCCAAGATGCTGATAAAGACCTGGCTGTTAATAAGCTGCTGAACAGCCCCCAGAATGCCTTAGGAACTTGGGGAGAAAGCATCCCTCTTACAAACAAGCAGGGTGACCACCCAAAGTTTTCTGGAATTAGACATAAATCTCCACAAGTAAGACAGGATGGAGGAAACAGGGGATTGAAGAAAAGCCCTTTTTTAATTAAAACACGAAAGAAGAAAAAGGAAGAGAAGCTTGCACACCATGTTCCTCAGTCTCCAAGGAGCTTTCACCCGCTAAGAGGAGAGGCTAACACCACATTTTCAGACAAGAGACTTGATCATCCATTGTTAGTCCATAAGTCCAATGAAACATCTCTTCCCACAGACCTCAATCAGACATTCTCCTCTATGAATCTTAGCCTGATAGCCTTACTTCTTGACCATAATCAGAATCCTTCAAATGACACCAGTCAGACAAGCCCCCCTCCAGATCTTTATCAGACAGTGCCCCAAGAAGAACACTATCAAATGTTTTCAATTCGAGACTCTGATCAGATGCACTCCACTACAGACCCCAGTCACAGGTCTTCTCCAGAGCCTGGCCAGATGCTCAACTATGACCTAAGAAACAAGTCCTTTCCTATGGACATTGGAAAAATATTCCCTTCCTTGGAACTTGAAGTCTGGCAGACAACCATCTCTCCAGATCTCAGTGAACCATCCTTCTCTTCAGAACTTAGTCAGACAAGCCTTTCCCCAGACCTTGGTCAGATGGCCCTTTCCCCAGAACTCAGCCAGGAGACCCTTTCTCCAGACCTTGGTCAGATGCCCCTTTCCCCAGAACTCAGCCAGGAGACCCTTTCTCCAGACCCTGGTCAGATGCCCCTTTCTCCAGAACTCAGCCAGGAGACCCTTTCTCCAGACCCTGGTCAGATGCCCCTTTCTCCAGACCTCAGCCAGGAGACCCTTTCTCCAGACCCTGGTCAGATGCCCCTTTCTCCAGAACTCAGCCAGGAGACCCTTTCTCCAGACCCTGGTCAGATGCCCCTTTCTCCAGACCTCAGCCAGGAGACCCTTTCTCCAGACCCTGGTCAGATGCCCCTTTCTCCAGAACTCAGCCAGGAGACCCTTTCTCCAGACCCTGGTCAGATGCCCCTTTCTCCAGACCCTGGTCAGATGCCCCTTTCTCCAGACCTCAGCCAGGAGACCCTTTCTCCAGACCCTGGTCAGATGCCCCTTTCTCCAGAACTCAGCCAGGAGACCCTTTCTCCAGACCCTGGTCAGATGCCCCTTTCTCCAGACCTCAGCCAGGAGACCCTTTCTCCAGACCCTGGTCAGATGCCCCTTTCTCCAGACCTCAGCCAGGAGACCCTTTCTCCAGACCCTGGTCAGATGCCCCTTTCTCCAGACCTCAGCCAGGAGACCCTTTCTCCAGACCCTGGTCAGATGCCCCTTTCTCCAGAACTCAGCCAGGAGACCCTTTCTCCAGACCCTGGTCAGATGCCCCTTTCTCCAGACCTCAGCCAGGAGACCCTTTCTCCAGACCCTGGTCAGATGCCCCTTTCTCCAGAACTCAGCCAGATGACCCGTTCCCCAGACCTCCATCAGATTCCCCTTTCTTCAGACCTCAGCCAGGCAACTCTCTCTCCAGATATCAGTCAAACAACCCTTCCTCCTGATCTCAGGCAGATATCACCTCCTCCAGATCTTGATCAGACATCCTCCACTTCTGAATCCAGTCAGTTATTGCCTCTTCCAGAATTTGATCAGATTTTCCCTTATCCAGACCTCGGTCAGATGCCGTCTCCTCCACCATCTTCTACATTAAATAACACTTTTATGCCAAGGGAATTTAATGCACCAGTTGTAGTAGGCCTCAGTGGAGATGATGGAGATTACATTGAGATCATTCCAAGGCAGAAGGAAGAGAGCAGTGAGGAAGATTATGTTGAAGTTAATTACGTGGCCTATAATGACCCTTACCAAACTGATATTAGGACAGACATCAACTCCTTCAGAAATCCTGACAATATTGCAGCATGGTACCTCCGCAGCAACAATGGAAACAGAAAATATTATTACATTGCTGCTGAAGAACTATCCTGGGATTATGCAAAATTTGCACAAAGGTTTGGCCAGCGTTCTCCTTTTATATTCTCATTTTCCCACTACTGCTACAAAAAATAATTACAACAGTCCAAGGAGTTAATTCTGGGTAAATCATACTAGGTATAGTTTAGTTCCCCTATTGCAACTTGGCCTGTACCATTTCCCTTTGTCAATTCCAAGATCGTCTTCTCTACTTTAGGTGACATCTGGACAATATAAGAACCATTACTATAAGAAGTCTATGATTTTCTATAGTTAAATAAGCTCCCTTCCCTCTCTTCTCTCACCACACATGTTCCTACCCAGTCTTCTTGCTCCAATGCAGAGCCCAACCAATTGCTAATCAATATGATTTCACTGAAGTTGGCTTCAAATCCAAATTCGTGATGTAGAAATCTCCTTTTGCATTTGCTTGTTTACCAAAACGTTTTTAAATTGTTTACTGTTCAATGTAGAATATATAACATCTTGGTGAGGTTTAATTCAAATCCCATGAGATTCTAGTAGCAGAGACCAAGGATATAAACTAGCTTAGAAACAAAATAAGTTTATGCCCTCAATTGAGGCAGTCATTAGATAATGATTTATTTCAACTTAAACTTGAGTTTTAACTCAGTTTATAGAAGCTACTAGTGCTCATTCTCTCCTAGGCATTGAGCTAAGTGCTGAGACTATAAAAGGACTATAAATAAGTCCCTTATGGAACTTATGTCTAGTTGGACAGGTAGATATGAATCAAATACTGACATAAATAAGCGTAAAATATAACCATGATAAAGACCAAGAAGGAAAGGTAGACATATAGTGATATGAGAATTGGGAAATCTGACTCTGAAGAAGTGGCATCAGAACTGAGATCCAAAGATGAATAGGAGTGACTTAGGCAGGAGGTGGAGAGGGGAGAGCATTCTTGACAGAGAGAACAGCATGATCAAGGCCCTGCAGAAGGAGGAAGCCCTGAAGCTGATGGCCTGGAGCTCAGGAAGAGGGCGGGTGATCAGAAAGTATTTGGCAGCTCTGCAGAGACCAGATGCCACTAGGCTTTGTAGTCCATGGGAAGAATTCTGAGAAACCCTTCAAAAGCTTCTAGTTTACTGGAATACGTCAGTTGCTTTCCTGGGCCTTGTTACTTTCATTCTTTAAATGAAAGAGTTATGCCAAATGGCCCCCCAAAATCCTCTTCATCTATAACATTTTAGGGTTTCAGCCACTCTTCAACCATAGAGTTGAAGGAGTTGATGTAATTTTGTAAGTGGCCTGACTTACAACAGAGAGCTTCTAAGGGATCCATATACATTTTTTAAAGATAATATTCAGTTCAATTTTGTTTAAGGATGGAAAGCCATATTAGGCTGGACTCTGTATTCTGTGATGACAATATGGAGAAAGAAGAAAGAGAGGGACAAGCAGCAAGGCTTAGTCAACTACAAATTCTCAGGGACATAGCATGGTGACCATGCTTAACTGTCTAAATATAGTCTATGGCTTTTAGAAAAGCTAACTGTTACACTAATAAATTAAAAACCAAAGTGTAATTAGAGTAAGGAAACACAATGCATAATGTAACTTATAGAAATTATTTCATTAATCTGATGCCTGACATTTCCATATTAGAACTTTGTTAGATTAAAACACTTTCTCCCATGACTTCCTGTTTAAACGTAGTACCCGTTACTATCCGAGAATAACTAGTTTATCTGGGGATTGCTAAGCAAGGCCCTGAGGGTATAAGATTTAGGGCCTTTCCAGAGTGAAAAGGGATAAACCACCTCCTTCGAAATCTTGTATCCCATTCCAGATATGCAGCACACTTTTATGGCAGCTAAATTTGTTTTCCTCATCCTATGTGTTCTGTGAGACTGTATGCTATGCTTAGAGTCTGGAAGGATAAAGTTAGTAGCATGGAAAGACTAGAAAGAGGCAGGATGGGATTCTATGTTGATGGCTCATGGTGTATAACAAATATTATGAGATTAATGGATGAGCTTTTGTCCTGTTTCCGTAGGCTTGGGAAATTTAAGAGTCAGTAAGAAAATTTGATGTGCTCTGGCCCCAGACTGAGCTAGTGAACTACATGATGAATAATGGGATTTAGCAAAAGCAAATGTGAGAAGAGTGGCTACTTTCAGAGTATGAAACACCCATCCATCCAGTGGCCTTCACAGGTGTGGCCTTCTAAGTCAGCTGACCATTCTCACCTGACAGCCCCAAGTCCTGACACTGCCCCATTGCATGGCTTTGTCTGCTTTTGATATTAAAATCTGCCACATTAGTATATGATTATATTTGTTTACTCATTAGTGAATTAAGCCAATATTTCTTGAGTGCCTAGTATGTGCCAGATAACTTGCAAGGCACTGGAAATAAAATTATGAGCAAACTAGTCCCTGACATCATGGGCTTTCATTCTAGTGGCAGAGTCAGATACTAATAGATAATCTCACAAATAAATGATATATAGTTTACTATATATGCTACAGAAATACTATAAGAATGCTATAGGAATTTACTATATATACTATGGTAATACTACAGGAATATAAGGGATGATATAGAAAGATTTGATCTAGTCTAAAGGATCATAGGAGAACTTACCTAAGAAATGGTATGTGAGCTGGGAGCTGGGAGCTGAAGGATATGGCTTATGTTTTTAGACATTTATATTTTCATTCATTTGCTCATCAAATATTTATTAAATATCTTTTCTATGCTAGATACTATATTCAGAAACAGAGATAATTTCCTAAGTTCTTTGAATGATCTTTAATTTATTCTTTTAAACAAATACTATTATTATAATTTCAGTGAAATGGATGATGATGATGTTCCAGAGGACACTATATACAAGAAAGTAGTTTTTCGAAAGTACCTTGATAGCACTTTTAGCAAACGTGATCCTCAAGGAGAGTATGAAGAGCATCTTGGCATTCTTGGTCCTGTTATTAGAGCTGAAGTGGATGATGTTATCCAGGTAAGTCATCTTTTGAGTATTGCTAAGATCATCAGAGGAATTTCCACAAGCCCTGGAGGGTTGTAAAGGTGAAGGTGGCAAGAAAGCTATAGGTGATTGATCTTCCAAAATTAACAAATAATTACATTTGTTTTCAAAGACTGCTTGCCAAGTAATTTGAAAATCTTCAGAAGAATGATCTCATAATTTTATTTCTCCCTCTGTTGAGCTCCTGTTCATTCTATAAGGGCCAATTCCATTTCCCGTGAGAAACTTTCTTTAATTCCCCCAATCTCTCCTTAACATTCAACCGAATTGCTCCTCCCAGGCATTCCCATCTAACCCAATTCACACTTTGTTTACATACTTTTTGTCTCCAGACTTTTATTTTTTACGTTGCATTGTTTTTTAAAAAAATTATTTTTATTGTGGTCTAAACAATTTATAACGTGAAATTTCAGTTGTACATTAATATTTGTCAAACACCAAATAAATGTGCCCCTGCACCCCTCGTGTCCTCCTTCCCCCTTCCATTCCCCCTGGTAACCACTAAATTGTTCTCTTTGTCCATAAGTTTGTTTATATTCCACATATAAGTGAAATCATATGGTGTTTGTCTTTCTCTGTCTGGCTTATTTCACTTAACACGATGCCCTCGAGGTCCATCCACGCGGCTGCGAATGGGATGATTATGTCTTTCTTTATGGCTGAGCCATATATATATATACCACATCTTCTTTATCCCAGTCATCAGTCAATGGGCACTTGGGTTGCTTCCACATCTTGGTCTATTGTGAATAATGCTGCAATGAACATAAGCGTGCATAAATCTCTTTGTATTGTTGATTTCAAGTTCTTTGGATAAATACTCGGTAGTGGCATAGCTGGGTCATGTGGTAATTCTATTTTTAATTTTTTGAGAAATCTCCATACTGTTTTCCAAGTGGCTGCACCAGTTTGCATTCCCACCAGCAGTGGATGAGGGTTCCCTTTTCTCCACAACCTCTCTAATATTTATTATTTTTTGTCTTGGTGATTATAGCCATTCTAACAGGTGTAAGATGATATCTAAGCGTAGTTTTGATTTGCATCTCCCTGATGATTAGTGATATTGAGCATCTTTTCATGTGCCTAATTGGCCATCTGTATATCTTCTTTGGAAAAATGTCTATTCTTCTGCCCGCTTTTTGATTGTGTTGGGTTTTTTTGTAGTTCAGTTGAGTGAGCTCTTTATATATTAGGGAGATTAACCCCTTATCGGCTATATGATTTGCAAATATTTTCTCCCAGTTGGTAGGTTGTTTTTTCATTTTGATCTTGGTTTCCTTTGCCTTCCAGAAGCTTTTTAGTCTGATGAACTCCCACTTGTTTATTTTTTCTTTTGTTTCCCTTGTCTGAGTGGACATCGTTATTTGTAAAGACCCTTTTAAGGTTGATGTCAAAGAATGCACTGCCTATATTTTCTTCCAGAAGTTTTATGGTTTCAGGTCTTACCTTCAAGTCTTTGATCCATTTGAGTCTACTTTTATGTATGGTGTAAGATAATGATCTGCTTTCATTCTTTTCCATGTGGCTGTCCCGTTTTCACAGCACCATTGAGAGGCTTTCCTTTCTCCACTGTATGTTCTTGGCTCCTGTGTCGAAAATTAGCTGTATGTATATGTGTGGTTTTGTTTCTGGGCTTTCAATTCTGTTCCATTGATCTGTGTGCCTGTTTTTGTACCAGTACCATGCTGTTTTGATTACTATAGCTTTGTAATATGTTTTCAAGTCAGGGACTGTGATGCCACCAGTTTTTTTCCTGTTTCTCAGGATTGCTTTGGCTATTCAGGGTCTTTTGTTGCCCCATATGAATTTTAAGGTTCTTTGTTCTATTTCTGTGAAGAATGTCATTGGGATTCTGATTGGGATTAGATTGAAGCTGTAGATTCCTTTAACATTTTAACTATGTTTATTCTTCCAATCCATGTACATGGAATATCTTTCCATTTCTTTATGTCACTATCGATTTCTTTCAGTAATGTCTTATAGTTTTCCTTGTATAGGTCTTTCACCTCCTTGGTTCAACTTACTCCTAGATATTTTATTCTTTTTGTTGCAATTGTAAATCGGGTTGTATCCTTGAGTTCTTGTTCTGTTAGTTTGTTATCAGAGTATAGAAGTGCCACTGATTTTTGTACATTGATTTGTATCCCACAACTTTGCTGTAGTTTTTGATTATTTCTAATAGTTTTCCAGTGGATTATTTAGGGTTTTCTGTATATAAAATCATGTCATCTGCAAAGAGCAAGAGTTTCACTTCTTCAGTACCTATTTGGATTCCTTTTATTTCTTTTTCCTGCCTAATTTCTCTGGCCAAAACCTCTAGTACTATGTTGAATGAGAGTGGTGAGAGTGGGCACCCTTGTCTTGTTCCTATTCTCAGCAGGATGCCTTTCAGTTTTTCCCCATTAAATATGATGTTGACAGTAGGTTTGTCATATATGGCCTTTATTATGTTGAGGTATTTTCCTTCCACACCCATTTTATTGAGAATTTTTATCGTGAATGGTTGTTGGATCTTGTCAAATGCTTTCTCTGCATCTATGGAGATGATCATGTGGTTTTTGTTCCTCCTTTTGTTAAAATGGCATATTATATTGACTGATTTGCAGATGTTGAACCATCCCATGTCCCTGGTATGAATCCCACTTGATCATGGTATATGATCTTTTTAATGTATTGCTGTATTCTGTTTGCCAAAATTTTATTGAGGATTTTTGCATCTATGTTCGTCAGCAACATTGGCCTGTAATTTTCCTTCTTTGTGTTGTCCTTGTCTGGTTTGGGGATCAGAGTGATGCTGGCCTCATAAAATGTGTTAGGAATATTTCCATCGTCCTCAATTTTTTGGAATAGTTTGAGAATAATAGGTAATAAATTGTCTTTGAATGTTTGGTAGAATTCTCCCGAGAAGCCATCTGGTACTGGACTTTTATTTTGGGAGAGGTTTCTGATTACTGTTTAAATCTCTTTACTTATGATTGGTCTATTCAGATACTGTATTTCTTTTTGATTCGGTTTTGGGAGGTTGTAAGAGTCTAAAAATTTATCTGTTTCTTCTAGATTGTCCAGTTTGTTGGTGTGTAGTTTTTCATAATATTCTCTTGTAATCTTTTGCATTTCTGTGGTATCTGTTGTAATTTCTCCTCTTTCATTTCTAATTTAATTTACTTGAGTCTTCTCTCTTTTTTTCTTAGTGAGTCTGGCTACGGGTTTGTCAATTTTGTTTATCCTCTCAAAGAACTAGCTCCTTCTTTCATTGATCCTTTCTATACTCTTTTTTGTTTCAATTTCACTTATTTATGCTCTAATTTTTACTATTTCCCACCTGCTGGGTTTGGGCTTTGTTTGCTCTTCTTTTTCTAATTCTGTTAGGTGTAGTTTAAGATTGTTTGAGTTTTTTCTTGTTTGTTAATGTGGGCTTGTATTGCTATAAATTTCTCTTTTAGGACTGCTTTTGCTGCATCCCGTAAGAGTTGGTATGGTGTGTTTTTGTTCTCGTTTGTCTCCAAATATACTTTTTATTTCTCTCTTTATTTCTTCAATGACCCACTGGTTGTTCAGTAGCATATTGTTTAGTCTCCACATTTTTGTTCCTTTTTCAGTTTTTTGCTTGTAGTTGATTTCTAGTTTCATGGCATTATGGTCAGAAAAGATAGTAGATATGATTTTAATCTTCTTAAATTTATTGAGGTTAGCCTTGTTTACCAATTTATGGTCTATCCTTGAGAATGTTCCATGTGCATTTGAGAAGAATGTATATTCTGCTGTTTTTGGATGGAGTGTTCTATATCTATCTAACTATCTATCTATTAAGTTCATCTGGTCTAGTTTTTTATTTAAATACACTATCTCCTTGTTGACTTTTTGCCTGGATGGTCTATCCACTGATGTAAGTGGGGTGTTGAGGTTCCCTACTATTACCGTGTTGTCGTTGATATCTCCTTTTAGGTTTGTTAATAGTTGCTTTATGTACTTTGGTGCTCCTTTGTTGGGTGCATACATGTTTATAAGTGTTGTCTTCTTAGTGGAGAGTCCTTTTTTTCATTATACACTGTCCCTCTATGTCTCTCTTTACCAGTTTTATCTTGAAGTCTACTTTGTGTGATATAAGTATGGCAACATTTGCTTTCTTTTGTTTGACATTAGCTTGGAGTATTGTCTTCCATCCCTTTACTCTGAGCCTATGTTTGTCTCTAGAGCTGAAATGTGTTTCCTGGAGGCAGCATATTGTTGGGTCTTGTTCTTTAATCCATCCTGCCACTCTCTGCCTTTTGATTGGGAAATTCGATCCATTTACATTTAGAGTGATTATTGATATATGAGGGCTTAATACTGCCATCTTATCACACGTTTCCTAGTTCTTCTGCATTTCCTTTGTTTCTCATCCCATGTATTTCGGACTACCAATTTGATTAGGTAGTTTTCTCTGTTGGTTTTCTTCATTTTCTACTTGTTTATCATAAATGTCTCTGTTCTAATTATTTGTTTAGTGGTTACCCTTAGGTTCATATACAAAATCTTGTAACTGAGATAGTCCATTGTCCAATAGCCTCTTATTTCCTTAGACTATACTGATTCCATCCCTGTCCTCTTTCCCTTCTAAGCTATTTTTGTCATATCTTTTTCCATCTTATATTGTCAGTTTGTGGTTAAAATTATGAGATCATTTTTGTTTTGGTGTTTTCTTTTTATTTATCCTTGATGTTAAAGTTAAGTGTTTACTAATCTAATCTGATAGAGAGCTGCCATTTTCTGATTATTTCCTACCTATTCATCTCCTTGCTCAGGACTTTGTAGCCCCTTTCCTATTTTTTTTTTTTTCAGGTACGAGGGCCTTCTTGAGGATTTCTTGTGTGTGTGTGTAGGGGGAGGAGGTCTTGTGGCAATCAACTCCCTCAGCTTTTGTTTATCTGGGAAAGTTTTTATTTCTCCGTCATATCTGAAGGAGATTTTCACTGGATAGAGTATTCTTGGCTGAAAGTTTTTGTCTTTCAGGATTTTGAATATACCATTCCACTCTCTCCTAGCCTGTAAGTTTTCTGCTGAGAAATCTGCTGAAAGCCTCATTGGGATTCCTTTGTAAGTTATTTTTTTCTACCTTGCTGCCCTTAGTATATTTTCTTTGTCCTTCACTTTTGCAAGTTTCACTACTATATGCCTTGGAGTGGCTCTTTTTACATTGACAAAGTTAGGAGATCTGGAGGCCTCTTTCACATGGATTTCCAGCTCCCTCCCAAGGTTTGGGAAGTTCTCAGCTATTATTTCTTTGAAAAGCTTTCTGCTCCATTCTTCTCTTCCCCGTCTTGAATATCTATAATCCTTATGTTGCATTTCCTGATTGAGTCAGATATTCCTTTGAGAGATTCTTCATTTCTTTTTAGTCTTAGTTCTCTCTTCTCCTCTCTCTGAAGGATTTCTGTAGTACTATCCTCTAACTGGCTGATTTTGTCCACCGTATTGTCAGCTCTGTTGTTTAGGGAATCCAGAATTTTCTTTATTTCATCCATTGTGGTTTTCATCTCCAACAATTCTAATTGGTTCTTCTTTATGGTTTCAACTTCCTTTGTGACAAAGCTCCTGAAGTTGTTAATTTGTCTTTCTGTGTTTTCTTGTAACTCATTGAGTTTTTTTATGATGGTTGTTTTGAATTCTTTGTCATTTAGGTTATGGATTTCTGTGCCTTCAGGGTTGGTTTCTGGGTACTTGTCATTTTCCTTCTGGTCTGGAGGTTTAATATACCTACTCATACTGCTTTATGGAGTGGATTTTTGCTTCCTCATGGTGCTCTTATCTGGTCGCAGCTGCCATGTACCACCACTGGGTGGGGATCAGGCACTGTGTTTCTGGGCCTGGCACAAGCAGGGGCTCCCCAGCTCCAGCCACTGACTGCTTTTTCTCTGAGTGACTGATCAATGGCAGATCTGGAGCACTGGGCAGGGGGAGGGATACTTTCCTTTCCCAGTGCCTCCTCCAGCCCCTGCTGGTCTCTCTGGATGCAACTCTGGGCGATTGCAGGACTGTGCACTTTCCCTTTCCCTGCTGCCACTGCCAAGCTCATCACACCATGCTCCAGATGATTCTGGGGCTGGAGTACTGGGCGGGGATAGGGCACCTCTCCTCACCTGTGCACTTTCCTGGCTGCTGCCACCAAGCTCTCTGGGCCATGGTCCAGGCGATCCTGGGGCTGGAGTGCTGGGTGGGAATGGGGCACCTCCCTCACCTGCACACTTTCCCTGCCACCACTACCATGTTCGCCACACCATGCTCTGGATGATTCTGGGGCTGGAGTCCCAGGCAGGGGCAGGGTGCCCTTTTCACCTGCACGCTTCCTGCCACTGCGGCCTGTCTCTCTCCGTGGAGCTCCTGTGGATCAGCTTTCACTTCCTCTGGAGGATCCAGCCCCACTACCACCTTCTGGCGTATGGCTGCGTGGGTCTCTCAAACGTCTTTTGTGATGTGTACATGTCCTCTGTTGGTGTATGAATGTCCTTTTGGTTGTATCTTAAAGGGGAGAGCCCAAGGGAAGGGCTTACTCCACCATGATGCTGATACCACTCCGTTCTGTCTCCAGATTTTTAACTTGAATTCACATGTGCGGGTCTCTCTTTATCAGTAGGTTGAAAGCTTATTGTGAGCTTGGTTCAGGAACCAGGCTTCCTTCATCTGCAAATGTGCAGCACCTCTCATTATCATTTCATTGGTAGAAAATGTCAATACTTTTGCTTCGACTCTAAAAAGAAACATGATTTGGTGTTTCTGGGGTAAGCTACTTAGGTCCTGTTTCACAGGATGGCTGTAAAAATTAGATGAAATAATATACATGTTACTTTGCAATTGTAAGCATTCAATATATCTTAGGTCTAATTTGATAACCATTCATTTTGGCATGTAATGCTGACATTTTTTGGTTTGGATTTTCATTAAGCTTAAGTATATTTGTGGATCATTCTTTTTTCTAGGTTCGTTTTAAAAATTTAGCATCCAGACCATATTCTCTTCATGCCCATGGGCTTTCCTATGAAAAATCATCAGAGGGAAAGACTTATGACGATGACTCTCCTGAATGGTTTAAGGAAGATAATGCTATTCAACCAAACAGCAGTTATACATATGTGTGGCATGCCACTGAGCGATCAGGGCCAGAAAGTCCTGGCTCTGCCTGTCGCGCTTGGGCCTACTACTCAGCAGTGAACCCGGTAGGTACATCCATCAAAAGATTTTGTCATTCCCCTAACCTTATAACCTGAGTCTACAAAATGGCAAGGTCAAGATTATTTCTTGTCAAATGTCTGTCTTGCTTTCCATGAGGGATGTGTGAAGATCGTGGGCAAGGATCCACAGCTCCCGTGACCAGGGGCTCTGGAGCGGATCTTCAGGTGACTGCGAGAGAGGAACGTTTCTTCAGCGTAGAGCAGTGAAAATTATTTAAATGGCCAGCCCCAGTTAGAGAGACTGCCTTTATAGAGGAAGATGTTTATGTGCAATTTCCTTGAACAAGTATTAGCTTTCTTCTGCTCTTTTTATATGAAAAAACTGCAAAGTCGTGACTCCTTCATTTTGGGCGTAGTAGAGAGAGCACAGCCTTAGATTTCAATTCTTATCCTATAATTTACTGCATGGCCCTAGGAAAGTTACTTGACCTGTCTCAGCCTTGGTTTCCAAAGTTAAAAATGAGACAACAGGAGCCGGCTCAGTGGCACAGAGATTAAGTTCTCATGTTCCGCTTCAGCGGCCCAGGGTTTACCAGTTTGGATCCCAGGTGCAGACATGGCACCATTTGTCAAGCCGTGCTGTGACAGGTGTCCCACATATAAAGTAGAGGAAGATGTGCACAGATGGTAGTTCAGGGCCAGCCTCCCTCAGCAAAAAGAAGAGGATTGGTGGCAGATGTTAGCTGAGGGCTAATCTACCTCAAAAAAAAATAAAATAAATGAGACAACAGTACATAGCCGTAGCAGGCACTTGGTAATATTTGCTCAATAAATGAATTTATTTTTACCATATAGGAGTGTTGTCAAAATTAAATAAGATACTATAGGAAAAATATTAAATATAATAGTAGATGCTCAATAAATAGTATTTATTATAGTATCAATATTATTCTCATCATCCTCATTACTACCATGCTGAGATAAAGGATTAATCAGAGGAAGGGTATATGAATACCATAGAATTAGATGATAAATATCCAGGCTTATTAAACTATTCATTTATAATCTTCAATTTCAAATCCCCTAAGAAGATTTCCTCTTCTATGTGATCAGTGATTGTCAGAAAAGCAAAGACAATACCGAGAAGAGAGAATATGTGCAGTTTGCTCTTACTGTCTTCCAGGAGAAAGATATCCATTCGGGCTTGATAGGCCCCCTTCTGATCTGCCAAAAAGGAACACTTCATAAGGAGAGCAACATTCCTGTGGACATGAGAGAATTTGTCTTACTTTTTATGGTCTTTGATGAAAAGAAGAGCTGGTACTATGAAAAGAAGCCCAAAAGGTCTCGGAGTCTCACATCCTCAGGAGCAAAAAACTCCCATGAGTTTCATGGTATATTCCTCTGACTTTGCTCTAATCTCTGAACTAAATCACACTGGGTGACAGTGAACCCTGCCTTTAGGTCTTCACAAGATTAGACTCAAGATGTTTCTGAGGAACCAGGAGCTACAACTAAAACTATGTCCTTAAGTGTCTCAGAGGGCTGATGTAGCTTGGCAGGTGACACTGCAGGCAACAGAGAGCAGAGAAGGCCTGAAAGACAGCACATGGAGGCTGCTGCAAAACAAACCCTGACAAGCTAACCAACAAAAAAGCCAGGGTGCCGCAGTCAGTAACATAAATTGGAAAGGAAGTCACATTATTCTGCAATTTAAACAGTTAGTAAACCTGTTTCTTGATCTCTAAGGGAACACGTATTTATATAAAAGCGATCACCCATGTGTACTTTCTGAAATAGGAATGTTTGTAACAGTTCTGGCACTCAGTAGTTCACAGGTGGCCTCTGAAGCACACGAGAACAAAGTAAGATAGGAAACAGGGTAGGTAGGTAATGGGAGAAGAGTGGCAGGAGAGCACTTGGGTGGAAAAGTGGGAAAAGCATACCTACTCTGAAATCCATTCAGGGATTTTGTCTGTAAATTGTTAACTGAATTACAGTTTTAGAGAAAGGCACAATTTAGGGTTTGGTGAACAACATAGAGAATGACTTAGGGATTAGGGAAAAAAAATGAAGACTAATAAGCTCTGTTTTCAGAGTTTGATGAATGGAGGTGAATTATGATCAGGAAGGACCTGTGCTTTGGGTAATGGGTCAGTCATTCAGTGTAATAGGAAAGGAGAAAGTTGCTCTTGCTTAAGGAATAAAAAAAAAACATTATATACAACATCCAATTCACTGCCGCGTCCCCGCCCAGCCACTCATCAAGGCTAAGTAGGTCTGTTCTCCCTCCTGCAGCCCATTTACACACTCAGGCTACCCTTTTTTACTTTATTTTCCTCTTTAAACTTCTATTCTTGTGGAACACAATCTGATCTCACCTATAAAAACACTTCTGGATAGAAGAAGGCAAACGATATGATTTATGATCTGCTCTAAAACCCCACCATCTGGATTCTGCTTATCACACAAGGTTAAAAAGATTCTATCAAGCAGTCTAGAATAGAGTTAACTGAGAGCTGACCAATAGACTCCAAGCAGAGCTTTCTCTTCTCTTCTCCCACCATCTCTAGGCCTTTCCACTCACGGAGCTTGGTCTCAGGAGTGGGAAGCATACCTTTCTGACAACCTCTCCATCTAGAGGGAAAGCACAGGCTGCCGAATCAAACAGACCTGTCTCTTGGCTATCCCCTTTGCCTGCTGAGCACCCTTGATACACTGCTTCCTGATTCCTCAAAGAGTAAAATGCATCCAGTACGGTTTTAGTTTTAAATGTATTGTAGTCTAAGTGTCTATAATTTGGTAATCCCCATGGCATAATATTTATCAGGGTATTTGATAAGCAGACCACCTGAGTCCCCAGCCTCTAGCTCAGTGCCTGGCCTCTTCAGTCTGTGCTCAGTAAATGTGCTGAACTAGTGAATAAATGAATGAATCCCATCACTCAGCTCAATTTATCAAATGTTTACTGAGCACCCGCTATGTTGGGAGTCTTCACTTCCATATCCTGATGTAACGGTTTAGCAATTCTGATTTAATAATCACTTGAGACCTTTTCATTCTTAGGAGATCTATTTCTTACACAGAAACTAGGATGAGGGGGTTAAGGGCTGGTGTTATGAGTGTATAGATAGGTACTCCCATACCTGATAGAATTTTAAGGGTACCAAAATGTACCCAACTCCTCTCCCTCCAAAAATTCACTTGGCTGGTTCCCTCACTTCAGTCTCAGTTAAATGCATGGTGGCACAAAAGTTTATCCTTAAAATTTTGTATTATTTTTTTAAGGTGATCAAATCTATCAGGTGCTTTAAAAAACACACATGTATTTCACTGAGGGGAGAGTGGATCAAGCCTGAGAACTGTAGACATTTAAGCTGGGAAGGGGGCAGAGGAGCTATAGTGCAAATGAGAGACTAAACATGAATCTCTGTGGTAGCTGGTGACACCAAAGAGAAAGTCCAACTTCCTAATTTTGCTTGGAACTCTGTATGAATTAAGGAAGCCATAGGGTGACATGTTCATATCCCCTTACTTACTCTCTTTCCTCTAACCACTGGAGATCACTTATCTGGCTCATATTAGTCTTTGTCTTTTTCTAGAAAAGGAAAATTCATACTATAAATGTAAAAGATAAATGGGTAAAGCACAGAGCAGAAGAGTTAAGTCTAGGGGAAGAGTGATACACTGCTTGGAAAGGGAGCTCACCCGCACTTCTGCTATAGGCTGGTGTGAGAAGGAGCTGGTGGTTCTCTTTGATATTACGCTTCTCACTATAGTATGACATATGGTGGGCCCTTACTATGCCTGGTGGGCCTGGGCATGCAGAGTAATAAGGAAGATAGGTGGTGAGTGGGATGCCTCATAGTTCCTTACCAGCTTCTCTCCTGGTGTACACAGATTTTTAATTGATTGCAACTCTCTGTTCTTTCAGCCATTAATGGGATGATCTACAACTTGCCTGGCCTGAAAATGTACGAGCAAGAGCGGGTGAGGTTGCACCTGCTGAACATGGGCGGCTCCCGAGACATTCATGTCGTTCACTTTCATGGCCAGACCTTGCTGGAAAATGGCACTCAACAGCACCAGTTAGGAGTCTGGCCCCTTCTGCCTGGTAAAGATCTGGGCAATGAAAAGAGGTTCCTGTTGAAAAATGGCAAGAGAAGGCAATCTTCGCATCTGTAACTCTCCTTCATTCTCTCCTTGTGCATTTACTTCCTAAGGGGTGAAGCATGGATTCTGGCTTAGATCCTGGGCAAAGCCTATTCCAAAACTGCACATAGAGCACGAAAAAGTCAGCTAATGCATACACTGTTTGCAGCACCACACAGGCTCAATGCGTGGCCTAACTTGGTTCTACAGAGATGCCACGTCTAACACAGGTTCTTCCAAGCCATTGTGTGTCACAGGCCAAGCCTTAAGCAGATTATAAAATGAATCCCACAGGGCTGAGACAGCTAAAGCTTTCTGTTGGGAGGGAAGTCAGAAAATTACCAGGGTTTTGTGATTCTTGAGTTCTTGAATTCTACTCCTCCCTGATACTTTGGGCAAGTGACTATAGGAAACTTAATCTTAAACTGACTCATGGGACTGTTTAGGGAAAAAAAAAATTTTAGTGATTGTAAAAGCTAAAGAATAATAAAAGTATTTAGAGCTTTTCTTGTACAAAATAATGATAAGGTTTAAAAAACTACAGTCATCAAAAAGGGTTTTTACGTACCAATGAGTTGCTTGTAGGTGTATCCAGGTGTGTTGTAGGTGTGTGAGTAGGGATGTCAGTGCTAGATGCCATTGATTCTCCAACTGTAATGGGCATAAGAAAAACCTAGGAAGCCAGTGAAAATGTAGTTGCTAAGGCAGAGATTTTGCTCTCAGAGACTTTGATCTGGTAGATCTAGGGCAGGGGCCCAGGAGCCTGCATTTTTACCAAGTAGCCTAGTTTCCACAAACGCCACCTGAGAAGCTAGTGAAGGCAGTCCCTTGACAAGACTTTGGATGGGGAAGTTGCTTTGGCGCAGAAATCCAAATGGGCCTGTTTTGGTTAAGGGTAGGGGAAAAGAGGGTTCTTGTTCATTTTAAACACGCCAGTGACTCACTAAGCTATAAAAACCCACTCCACTAAAATCAGGGACAGAAGGGATTAGGTCTAACTCACTCACTTTTCACCAAGTGTTACCAGATCAGTCATCCTTGCCATGAGTCTGCGAGAAGCACTGAGAAACTGGGATCTGTTGGCCCATCCAAATCTTCAAACCTAAATATCCGCATTGGAGAGTAGAAGGCTGGAGATCTTTTTTAGTGTGTTTGAGGAGGATGACCATCAGCTATTAATTTTTACTCACAATCTGAGAAATGGTCACAAGTTATAGTCAGCAGAATTTAAGTATTAACTGGCAGTGGGTAACATTAAATACCAGAATGGATAACCAGAGGTTTCAGAAATCTCACTCTTTCAGTGATTCTCTGAAACAATTTATGTACATCCCTACCCAAACATGTAAACGTCGTAGAAAATTCGAAACATGGGAGGAGGATGTTTTATTTTAATTTTCTTATATCAAAAAGAAAAACTAGTGAAATAAAGAAAGGAAATATTTACAATATTTTTGAGGCCCAGTGATGGATCATTCAAGGTTGCTTTGATACTTAGGACTGTAAAACTGTATTATTTATGGGTTAACTTGCAACATTATATTTAAATAAATGAAAGTTCCTTTCTAGTGAGGAGTGTTGGAGATTTTTTTAAGTCCTGGGGCAATTTATTTTTAGTAATGTGTGTGTGGTTTTCTTTGTTTTGTTTTGATCTGTTTGTTACACCTCTAGTCCTGCCTGCCTCAATAAAAATGGATAGCTCTTAGGTTCTATTCTAAAGCCTCTTATTTCAGGATTCTTTGATAGCTGTCAACCAATATTAACTTGTTAATCTTTGGGTGTGTAATGTTACCCTTCACTCTCTACTTTAGGTTCATTTAAAACTCTTGAAATGAAGGCATCAAAAGCTGGCTGGTGGCTCCTATGCACAGAGGTTGGAGAAAACCAGAGAACAGGGATGCAAACTCCATTTCTCATCATAGACAAAGGTATCATCCAAGAGCCACATGATATTTTTAGCAGGAGAGTGCCTGCTACTAGAATACTACCAACTTTTAGACTAGAAATATTCAATTCTGAGAACTCTGACATGACCAAGGCATAGTCTGTAGCACTAATTGCTTTCATTCTGACCCATGGTCTGATTATACTGCAAACATCAATCATCTAAGAAACTTAAACCAAATGGTTCAACCCACAGGCATTCCTCTCAGTTGGGGAACCAAAACAAAGCATCCTCTTTCATGATTTGTGATCCATAAGAAAATGCATGTAATAAATTCTCCAGACTCCTGGAGTAGAGGAGAGAAAAGATACTAGGAATTCAACAATGACTGAGAAAGTCATTGAACTTGGCATTTCAGTATTCTAGAAATACAGTTTCCATCTGTTCATCCATCCATCCATCCATCCATCCAGCATTTATTAAGCATTTGTTGAGTACCAAGCACTGTGTCAACATCCAGATACCTCCATGGCTGGTATTCCCTTTTGTGATCAGGACATAAATAACCCTATAACTTTCAGGCCAACTTGAGAACATAGTGTTATGTGGGACAGTACTTAATGTTGTAAAATGTCTTATTTTAAGATACAAGCAGATGGGAATCAGTTTAAAAACTAATTGCATCTCAGAATTTCAGTTGTTTTCCTTTAGGGTGGCACTATTTCTATTAAAGCACCATTCTTGCTAGCGCATTTACCATTTTATGATCAGACATATTTAAGTCAGTTCCACACAAGGTAGGTGAAAATATCTAATTACTGACCCACCAGAGGTATAATCTCTAGCCATGGAGCTTTTGCTTTCTTATATATATTTTTTAAGCAAAAATTATTCATTGTTCTGGTTTTTTTTAGAATGTAAGATGCCAATGGGATTAAGCACTGGTATCATAGCTGATTCTCAGATCAAGGCTTCTGACTATATGAGTAAGTAGTAGCATTATAGGCTGTGAAAGGTAACCTCCTACTATTGTACAGTATATAGCCTGCAAAACCATACATGACTATGCTGCCTGTTGAATCTGTGGGTCATTGATCTTCTTTAGATTTTTCTCTATTGCAATACAGTAAGCAACCGCATTTGGGGCTCATCTGGTAGAGGAAGAAGTATGGCAGGAACTAAAAGCCTGTTGGCACCCCCTTATCACTGCCACCCCTTCTCGTGTATGATGTTCCCAAAGAGTCTCTCCCAGGGAAGACCAAGGGCTAGGGATGCTTGGTTTCTCTACATAGGCAGTCCACCCTCTCAGCAGAGATTGGGCAAGGAATGAATAGCTTATTTTTATGACCATGAGTCCCTTTCCAAAACTCTCCCCATTCAGCCCCATTCTAAGTTTGATCACACATGTAATATTCCAGCCAGATTCACAAAGTCTTATTGGCCGGGTATTATAGTCCCCATTAACAGAGCCCTTTGCTGTGCCAAACATTCGTTTATTCAAGAAACTTTGTTGATCGCCCACTATGTGTCAGGAAATCCTCCTAAATTTCCTCATTCTGCCTCAAAGCCCTTCCCAAGATCTAGATGTCAATTGTAAGTGATCTTGAGGCTCCCATAAATCCCTCCCATGTCTTCCTGTTGGGCTGGCACACTCAGCAGCAACCACAGCAAAATACCCAAGAAAAAGATAAACACGACTGGTATGCAAGAAGGGGTGGGGGTGGTGGTTAGCTCACCAAGCACAGAACTGAAGCTGAGTTGCATTGTCGTGGACTGATTTAGTAGCTGAGACCTGTGTCAACCGCCTGGTCTCCTAACTGCAACAGAAGGTCCTCCAGGGATCTTGTTTTCCTCTGGGACTAAACTCCCTTGTGAAACTATTTATTGTATGTTTTTTAAAAATTCAGAATAAATTTTTTCCTTCCTTTGAATTTAGGTTATTGGGAGCCCAAATTAGCAAGATTAAACAATGGCGGATCATATAATGCTTGGATCACAGAAAAACTTTCAAGGGAATCTGACTCTAAACCTTGGATCCAGGTATGCCTTATTAACCTGATATTTACTGCTATTGTAATAATAAAAATGACAGTGATGTAATAATTTCTTCTTGTTATTATTCTTGCAATGTTGTTAGGGAAATAGCAATTACTATTTTAATAATACAATGCTAATCCTAGGAACTATTCTAAGCACATACTCAAAATGACCCCTATGAGGTTAGTTCTAGTAATATCCCACGTTATAGATGAGAAAACTAAAGCACAGAGGGATTAACTAACTTCCCAAAGTCACACACAGCTAGCTAGTGATTGAGCTTGGATTCATGTCCAGGTACTCTGTGCTCAAATATGGATTGCATCTAGCCATTTTATTAGTTTGTTAAGATCTTAGGTGTTGGCTCTTCAGTTCTAAAGAAAGCTGGTTGTACAATGAATTAAGGCAGTGTATAGCTTGTTGACAAGGACAGTTCTGTTTATGGCTTTGCTATATTGCAGGTGGACATGCAAAGGGAAGTCCTATTAACAGGGATCCAGACCCAAGGAGCCAAACACTACCTGAAGTCTTACTACACCACCGAGTTCTATGTGGCCTACAGCTCTGACCAGACAAACTGGCAGATCTTCAAAGGAAACAGCGCAAAGAATGTGATGGTCTGTGTGCATGTTTCTTTCTGAGTCTCAAGAATCAGCCTAAAGTTACCATGACCATGTCCATGACAATATCTTTTTTAAAAATACCTTTTAAAATTATTCAAAGGGTGTTAGAAATATGAATGGCTTTCTTAGGGTCTTATGGAGGAAGGTGGTAATATGATAGCTCTATATATTACAAATTAAAGCGATAAGCCTGACTTCTGAAATTTGAAAACTCCACAAAACTTGAAAAAAGTCACTTTATCATCAAAATAAATGCCTAGACTTCTCAGATTGGCAGATGGTGCACAGCGAAGTAGAATACTTAGTCTTGTGCCTTAAGGAGCTCAAGCTAAAAATCGGCCACTAAGAGTTTTTATTTTACTAACTTTTACATTTTATTTTGTTCTTTATTCCACTGTACCTGAAGGGAATAGTAATGTTAATGCCAATAACGTTCTGAGGCAATGTGATTTCAGGCTTCCTTTGCTGCCATGCCTGAGGAGTAACATTCCTCTGCTGGATCTTCCAGGGGTTCAGCCAGGCTTATTCCCAAGGACCCAACTGTACCAGCCACAACTGTTCCCCTTCTCCCCTCTCCCATTTTCCAAAGAAAGCTATCTGAATGCAAGGGGTCAGTCTGCCATTATCATACTGATAACCTTGAATCTGTTTCATTTTTTCTGTAAGTAGTTTGTTATTTTGCTATTTTCTATATTATCAGTTAGCTATTGCTAGTAACAAATTATTTGCCCTAGACCTTAGAACAGATCACAAAATCTTAAATTATGGTTCTTACTAATCAGTATTGGAGGGGGAATTCAGATGACAATTAGAGTCCATAGTTTAAAGATTCTTGCATCTATATTCATGAGGGATGTTGGTGTGTCTTTTTTTTCTTGTACTGTCTTTTTCTGGTTTCGATATTAGAGTAATACTAGCTTCAAAAATTGGGAAGCATGCTTTTCTATTTCCTGGAAGAGACTGTCTAGAATTGACATTAATTCTTTAAACATTTGGCAGAAATCACCAGTGAAACCATGTGGACTCGGAGATTTCTTTTCTTGGAATTTTAAAATTACAAATTCAATTTCCTCAATAGTTACAGGCTATTCAAATTATCTATTTCATATTGGGTGAGTTGGGACAATCTGTGTTTTTCAGTAAATCGATCCTTTTCCTCCAAGTTGTTAAATTTATGTGCATAGGATTGTTTGTAGTATTCTTTTATTATCCTTTTGATGTCTGCAGGGTCTGTAGTGATCTTGCCTATTTCATTTCTGATATTGGTAATTTGCATCTCTTCTCTTCTTGCTTTGACAGTCTTGCTAGAGATTTGCCAGTTTTTTTGATCTTTTTAAAGAACTGGTTCTTTGTTTCATTGCTTTTATCTATTGCTTTTCTGTTTTCAATCTTGCTGATTCTGTTCTTATCTTCTGTTTTAGCTGGCTCTTTTGACACTATTCTGGCAGGGAAAGGGGATGGGGCACAGCCTTGTTACTGCCACGTGGAGGTTGAAGTCCAGGTTTCCCACTCAGCTTCTTCCATTGACACCTAAGAGCGGACTGCTCCTTTTTGCAGCTGGATGGGGATGGGATGGTCTCCACGGACACTGAAGGAGTAGAAGCCTTATTAGGGGCTGGAGGGGATGAAAGTCTTGGGACCCTGTTGGGCCTTCTCTGACACAACCCCAGTGATGGTGTTGTGGTGACTTGTTAGAGTCTCAAGTGCATGGAAAACTAGGCTCCCCACGTAACCTTTGCTGCTGTGGGTGCAGAAGGGGCCACAGTATTTTCTATGGTGTTTGGCTTGAAGTAGAGCAATTTATTGTCTAGAAGTTTTCTGTCTTGCTAGGCTGCACTTTCCTGGTCTTGAGGCTAGAGAAATCAGGCTTTTGCTGGGGCTTCTTTTGTCTGTACCCGTTGGTGTATCCTGGTGGCTGGCTTCTTCACGTCCAAGTCTGTGATATATGAGGTAAAAAGAAAACCCAGGAACCCACCACCATGTTGCTCCTTGGGCCCCAAGAACCTTAGGAAGCCTGCCTCCTTCTCTCCACCTTTCAGAGTCTTCTTATGCTTTTGGATGTACTTAGCAAGAGGAATAGGGCAAAGTACATCTATTCCATCTTCCTGAAGTGCAAGTAGCCCCAATTATTTTTTAAGACCAAACTGATTTGGTTCAGACCATGTGAAAACTTATTATAATATTAAATTAGATCAAAATTTTAGTATAAAATCACTTTATAAAGAATTGTTATATAACTAAGCTTTCCTCTTTTCCTCTAGTATTTTGATGGCAATTCAGATGCCTCTACAATAAAAGAGAATCAGTTTGACCCACCTATTGTGGCTAGATATATAAGGATCTCTCCAACTAGATGCAATAACAAACCTGCCCTTCGATTGGAGCTGCAAGGTTGTGAGGTTAACGGTAAGGAACAAATAGACACTATTTCCTCGCTGCAGCTCAGAGAATCAGGATTTGGGAGGTATGGGAGAATGGGTGGAATCTTTAGTTCTCTTCAATGACTTAGGCTCCTAGAAAAACCTTTGTGAAAAGGAGTTCCACTCAGGTAAACTCTCGCTGTGACCTAGACTGAGACTGGTTCTACCAGCCAGAGAACAGGCACCATCTCTCTGAACAGAGCCTGGATGATATGGACACTGCCCTGATCCTCCAAGGAAGAGCCCCAGTTCAGAATGACCTCCATCAGCCCTTTTCAATAAGAACTGAGAGTCAAACTAAATATGACTTTCCAAAGTCCTCCAGGTCACTCAGACTTTAATGTAATGAAAGTAGATAGCAACATTATTGGCATATATGTGTTGTTCAATGAATGTTTTTGAAATATAAATCTGCTTCCCAACTTCCTGAAACCTTGATTGTACTGTATATTCTGTTTCACACCCTCTGTAGATACGCAAGTCTTTTCTGTGTAAGCTGCTATTTTTCAGGGGATGTAATGTGACTTGTGGTATAAATAAATCCAGGTAACCATAAATGGCCATCATAAAATTCTACCATATATAACAAGGATGTTTAAGAGTCTTATCAACTATTCTCCTTCTCTGACTCTTAAAGCAGTACTTTCCAAAATTTTTCTCTCAAAACACATATATAGAAGACAACACCTGTCTAGCAGTCTAGGGTAAAAGAATGAAGCAATTGAATCCAGCATGTGGCTCTTCCAGGCCCCACCTGTCTGCTCAAGGACTGAGGTGGGAGAGGGAACAATACATAGGCACACCTGAAAGTTGTTGTGGCACACCTGTTGGGGAGCCTTCTCTCAGGGTGGAGGGAAGAAGTCATGCTTCACAGTGGAGAAAGTAGCTGAACTTTGGAATCAGTTTCTTATCAAAGTAAATAATGGGAAAGTATACTCCTGATATTCATGACAGATATGCATATGGGCACTTTGCCAATGCCAGATAGCAGTGGTATTTAATATCTCCCATATAAAATGCAAATTTTATACAGGCGGGAGCACTCCTTGAAACAGCTCCAAAAATCATTGTTTTTTACTTTCCTATGATGTAAATGGCAGTTAATTCAGATCATAGAGGCAAGGTACCCTAAAATGTGATATTCTACTCTGTTAATCTATTTAAAACAGCTATTTTCTATACAAGAAGCATTCCTTTTTTTAAATCGCCTCACTTTCTTGATATTTGTATAATTAAAATTAGCAGTAGGCTTTCTTCTTTTTAAGGTTGTTTTTTTTTCATGGATAAAGTAAGGTAACACTTCAAGAAAATGTTTGCATGATTTCCTAGCAAGAACAAAGTGTCACAGAGATGATGGGCAGCCAGTTGGGCTCACTCACTAGCTGTGTTTCTTACACTCACAGATCAGCCTTGATGCCTATGACATTCAAATTCATGCCTTGACAAAATTCTAAAGGGTGCATAATATGGATCACCCTCAAAGGGTTGAAAATAAATATTAAATGTGACTACCAAGGGTCCACTGTATCTTCTTCTTTGTAGTTTTTCTTAGAAAAAGAAATAGAGTATGTTTTTATATACCTATATAGTTTAGGAGTTATTATCTATCTCAAAGCAAAAACAGAAGTTTCCATGACACTCAAGGAGAGAAATGGGTTAGATATTTAGAACACAGTATTCTGTGTCAGACTGCCTGGGCTCAAATTTAGTTGCTGATTCTTCTAGTCATGTTATTTTAGGCCAGTTACTTTTTCTTGCTGTCTTTTGTTTCCTTGTTTGTAAAATGGAGATAATTAGGAACATTTGATAATACATGTAAAGCCTGAAAAAGAGGTTGGCACTTGGTTGATAACTGTTCATGTTGTGATAGCTGTTTTTGTTGTTACTTAGTAGTAATTATTTCCTGTCTCCTCTGCAGTACAAACCGTCACATGGGGAATATCAGTGGTGCTTAATTAATCACATTACTTTTCTCTTGACAGGATGCTCCACGCCACTGGGTATGGAAAGTGGAAAGATAGGAAACAAGCAAATCACAGCATCGTCATTTAAAAAATCTTGGTGGGGCGATTACTGGGAACCCTTCTATGCCCGCCTTAATGCCCAGGGCCGTGTGAATGCCTGGCAAGCCAAGGTGAAACATCCCCTACTATGAATGGAGTTCCCTCAGCCTTCTAGTAGAAAACAAAGGTCCTTACTACAGGGGATACGGGGGCTTGGGAAGCAAGAGTATCACCTCCTGTTTCTGCAGATTAAGATCCTAGGTCTGAGAACCTAGGATGTCTATTGACTTGATAGCTTTAGCTCTAACTTTGGCTCAGAGAGAAGTTATTTATCATCTCTGTGGTTCTTGGTCTAGCCTTGATTTAGACCAGGGGTGGGCAAACGTTTTTCTGCAAGGGCCAGATCATAAATATTTTAGGCTTTGGGCGATACATTCTCTGTCAGAACTACTTAACTCAGCTATTGTAGCAGGAAAGCAGCCATAAACAACAGGGAAATGAATGAGCATGGCTATGTTCCAATAAAACTTTATTTACAAAAACAGGCAGTGAGACAAATTTGGCCCTTGGTCTGTAGTTTGCTGACTCCTGATTGAGACAACTTCTATTAGTGATAAATGATTTAGATTTGCAACATCTTGTGTTCTTCTCCCCTCACCTTCCAGAATTTAGTAACATTTTTCATTTTCTTAAGGCCATTTAAATTTTTTTGATCTCATTTTTTGAGAACTGTGTGACATTCCCTTAGACAACCGGAGGCATGGTAAAATTCTGCAAAACCAGGGTTAAAAATCAGTGATCTAAGTTTAATAAACATCTTCCAGAGAGTTATATTGCCCCTGATATTAGCCCACTGAGTAATTCAGGTAACTTATTTTAGAATAACTGTTAATTATTGACTCATTTTTCTTCCTTCAACTGACTTGAGAAGTCAGAATGGCATCAGATGTGAGAATGATCCTGTCAACCAACTTAACCCAAGTTCCCTATTTTCTATCCTCCCAACTTCCTCCCTTAACATGCCTACATTCCAATTCCCTGGAATCTCTAGAATTCCATGTCCTGTTCTCAAATTATGCCACCAGAAAGGAAAAGGGAAGTATGGCGCTAGTGGAGTAAATAGAAGAGCTTGGACCCGATACAGATAGTCTTGGGAAGCAATGTTGGTGCCTCATTTCTGGCCCATCATAGAATCACAGAACATTGGAATGGCAAGGGATTTTACCAAGTATCTGGTGCATGCTTTTCCCTTGAAGTCTAAACACAAAGGAGCTTAAATAATTTTAGGTTAGTCTGGTGGCAGAATCGGGAATCCCATTCTCCCGATAAACAGGTCAGTGTTACTTTCATCATTTGAAACAACCCAAACACCTCATTTTGCAATTTTGCAGAGGGGGAGACTGAGTTAAAATAATAAAAGTAATAATTTTATATTACATTATATTTATATAATATAAATAAAATAAGAAAAGGTTAAAGAGAGAAGATGTCATCTAACTCTTTCCCAAATGACCCTTTAGACTTGTTCATGGAATAACTTTGTCACCCTACCCTCTGTTTTACAGCCTTTAAAAACAATTTGCTCTGTATATAATTTGCTCTTAGTCCTTGTGATATAATAAAGACTCCAAATATTAAATGCTAATTTTAAGTTTTAATGCTATCATTTTAAATCTGGAATTTTAGGTCAAAACTATTTGTTTCACTTAAACTTCTATAAGTATGAAATGGCTTTATAGGGTCTCTTTGGAGAGGCTGAAAATCTAAGCCAGTATGCTGGCCTTCATGCAGACTGAGGGTCTCTACCTCTTTTATGCCTACAAAACTCCTCTAGTTATCTATACTCTGTATCACTAGTACAACCTTGATTTGAAGACACACTAAGATACCACCAGATATCACTAGAGGATGTTACTCAATTAACAAAAAGTCTCCTAATGCAATCATTTTAATTTGATTAATTTGCTTTAAAAATACATATAGCACGTGACTATATGCATATATATACATATGTGTATACATATATACACATACACGAGTGATGTTGAGGAAATATATCAATATTCATTATTTCACACAGAATTGACTGTGGGGCATGATAAATCTCCCAAAGGTGAAAATTTATCTCAGATTACTCCAAAACTCAATTAGTCCTTCTGATCCTCTTTCTCCAAGTGCATATCACCAAACATGTGATTAGGCGTTTTGTTAGGCCAGAGACAGGATAATCACTATGCCGTATCAAGCCCTAGGTATAGCTTTATTCAGTCTCTCAAGTATTATATTTATTTGAAATATCGGAAAAGAAGAAATTGGACTATTTCTCCTATTTGACATTAGCAATGGAAAGGGAAGTAGGACTTTTCTAAAATAAGTTAAATAAAGATAGGATACTATCAAATTCTGTCCCAGATAACCTGTCAGAAATGTCATCATAGTATTTAACAAACTTGTTTAAGAGAATAATATTTCCAGATAATTTAGAAATTTAATGTTTTTTCTTAAGTAAAATTCATTCCTTTATTCATTCAGCAATATTTGTTGAACACCAACTGTGTGCAAGCATTGTGGCAAGTACCTGGAAACAAAACTAAGCCAGTCCCTGCCCTCAAAGAATAAGGGATACAAAAAAGTAAACAACTAATTCTTGTATGATGTGTGAAATACTCCAGTAGAAGTTTATATATGTGCTGTGACAACAAACCAGAAGGGACAGGGAAGGCTTCCAGGAGACAGGGAATCCTAAGGGATGAGATGGAAAAGAAATCCTTGTGAGCTCTGTGCATTTTTGTGTATGTTGGTCTAAAAAAGCAAAGGTTTTAATATCTGTCTTATCCATGTGTTCTTATCATTTTCACAGGCAAACAACAACCAACAGTGGTTACAAATTGATCTGCTCAAAATCAAGAAGATAACTGCAATTGTAACACAGGGTTGCAAGTCTTTGTCCTCTGAAATGTATGTAAAGAGCTACGCCATTCACTACAGTGACCAGGGAGAGGAATGGAAACCTTACAGGCAGAAAGCCTCGATGGTGGACAAGGTACGGGGTGGTATCTTGGCAAAAAGAATGCAATTTGAAAACTGTGCTATGATGAGAATAGTACCCTGCATTTGCAAATAGCTCTTTGCATTTGACAAATATGCACTGGCATGTACCATCTCTTTTAAGTCTTCTAAATCTTGGCTCTGCAGGTCCCTGGTCTTGGGAGGGACTATGCACGTTATCTTTCTGCTTTGACTGAGCCTCCTGTGAAATAGTGAGAACAAAACACCAGTGGATGGTGTGAGGCTTAATTAGTCCTGATTCAGAAAGATGGTGAAGGGGTTTTCTCAGTCTGCTTGGGTTGCTGTATCGAATGGCCATAGAGTGAGTGACTTAAACAACAAACATTTCTCAAAGTTCTGGAGATCATGGTGCCAGCATAGTAGAGTTCTTGGTGAGGACCTGGTTCCTGGTTTTGCCCTCATATGGCCTTCCACTCAGAGAGAGAGATGCCATATCTCCTCCTCTTTTTATAAGTGTATACCCTCATGAGGCCCTCATGAGGCCTTACCCTCATGACCTAATTTAATCCTAATTACCTTCCAAAGCCCCATCTCCTAATACCATCTCATTGGGGGTTAGGGTTTCACCATATGAATTTTGGGAGCACACAAACATGCAGTCCATAACAAGGGTCTAGAAAACCTTCCACTACATTAGCGTTGCCTTGGATATACTTGTTATTCATGATGATCAAATACCCATGGCCATAAAACTTTCAGTGTTATATTGTTATTAAGCAGAAAACAATTGTTATCCTTACTGATGAGGAGAATAATTTCCTGCAAGTTGAACTACTCCATTACACTCCTAAATTCCCAGTTATATGGCTTTAAAATGCTACCAGAGGCAACACTAAGTAGATGAGCCTAATATTCCGGGAATGGGAATAGGAATGAAACCAGTAGGAAGAGCAACACAGGAGAAGGGGATGGACATTTACTGAAGGCTCACTGTGGGCTCAGCACTTATCTCAAATGAATTTGAACCTCCCTTTCTTTTTAAACCCCTGGGTTGGTTGTTTGTTTCTTTGGTTTGGCTTGTTATATTTCTTGCTGTTCCAGATGACCTCATAGCATGGTAAGGATCATTGTTATAAACAAATAGTGATTTAGCTTCTGCTGTGTATAAATCTTGGGGATTTGCTGAGGATGAAAAAAAGGCGTAAAACGTAGTTTAGTTGAGGACATAGGGCATGTGCCAAAAAGGATAAATAAAAGTGCATGGTTGCATTTTATTTTAAATGTTAGTAATAGTTAACCACTTATTGGTGTCCACTATCTGGCATTTACTAAGCACTTGTCATATGTTTACAGACATTTTTTAATCTTTACAACAACTTCCGTGAGGTAAAATTTTATTATCCTTATTTTGCCAATGAGGAAATGGGGAATCAGAGAATATGAGTAACTTGCTCAAAGTCACACAACTACAAAGGGGCAAAGGGCAGAGATGGCTTTGCAGCTGCTCCACAGCACCATGTCAGATTGCTTTATTATTCCCTAATTCAACTCAGATAACTGGTGAGGTGAAATCTCTAAAGAGATCTGTCTGGAGTGTGATTTCATAATTGATCTAAGATCAACTTTGTAATAATGTTGTATGTGTTCCTTGATGCCCTCGGTTTGAACTAAAAGGATAAAAAAAATTATCTGTAAGATTTTTATACCCATTATACCATCATTAAAGATTTTCTCATATTTTGCTTTCAGATTTTTGAAGGAAATACTAATATCAAAGGACATGTGAAGAACTTTTTCAACCCACCAATCATTTCCAGGTTTATCCGAATCATTCCAAAAACATGGAATCAAAGTATTGCACTTCGCCTGGAACTCTTTGGCTGTGATACTTACTAGAATTGAATATTCAAAAAGATAGAGGGACTCTTAAAGATATCAAACCAATTAGACTAGGCAAGGTATTTTATAGCTATTTTAAATATTAATAATTTTCCACTATTTCCCTTTTTTCTGTTAGAGAATAAAATTTTATATATGAAACTTTTATGATGTAACTTTGCTACTATTAAGTGGGATGATGATTATTATTTCTGCATTAATTTGAATATAAATGGGAAAATATCAAGAACCAACAAGAAAATAGCTTATCTTTCACAATGATTAAAAGTGCTATATAAAGTAATATTTATGTAGTTAACATGCTTCATTATAGTTCTTTTAAGTGCTATGCACATTAATAAGAGATATTACTTTCTTAAACCATTTATAGACCTGGATAGCTTTTACGCCTACATTTTCTTTGAAAGAGATATGATTTAAGAGTAAAGGAAACAAACAAGATTTTTAAATGGTTTGTTTTTTTTGACACTGGAGAAGAAAACAATCTTACCATATGAAAGGACAAGTGCTTAGAATACCCTGTCTTACCTACATGACAATTGTTTTTCTGACCCTCCATGAGTAAAGATACAATTAGCACATTTTCAGTAGTCCTGTTGGACTTGTGAATCTGGCCTGGTCTGCCTTGGAACTGATTGCACATATTGATGTTCAATATTAGTGTCATTAGCCATGGAACAGAACCAGAATAACTATGGCAGAACTCAATGTATAACCCTGGCTTCATTCTAGCTGTTTCAAAACATAGGTTCACCTAAGGGAAAGCTAATACATATAAAACAGAGCACTGGAACGCTTGGCCCAAATGCAGCTGTTCCTGCTAGAACAGGCCCCTGGCCAAACTGGCAAGCAGTTAAAGTTCTCTTTCAGTGCCCTTCTCTCTGTGGCCCCAACCTCCTCTTCTCCCTTCCTCAGCAACTTCCCCTTTCAGCACTCAGTTCCCTGGGAACTTGGCATCCAATGATCCTATAGACATTGTGAGACTAGGTAGCCTTCTGGCATTGTTTAAGTCACAAGGAATAAACAGTCACCGGTGAGGCACTCTATTTTTCTGGAACAAACCACCCCAAAACTTAGTGTTTAAAACAATGACAAATTTATTCTCTCTCATGATTCTGTAGGCCGACTGGGCTCAGCTGGGCGGTTTTACTGCTGGCTTCATTTGGGGCCTCTAGCGATGTTATAGTCAAACAATGTCTGTAGCCAGAGGCATCAAGAGGCTCAACTGAATGTTGGGACACCTGGTCCCCTCTCCCTCTTCAAGTAGTTTCAGATTCTCCCCTCATTACATGGCTTCCATGTGGTCTGTCCATTTGGTGTCTCCAAAAGGACAGCTAAACATCTTGTAGGGTGGTTCAGGCTCCCAGCAGCAAGTATTTAGGAGGTAAGAAGCAGAAGCTACCATTCCTTTTAAGGCTAGGCCCAGAACTGGCACAGTCTCAGTTCTGCTGCTTCCTATTGGTTAACACAAGTCACAGGCCAGCCTAGACTCCATGTAGGATGGAACTACACAAGGGTGTGCCTACCAGGAGGCGTAATTCATTGGGAGCCTCTCTAGAGACTAACTACCAGAGTTACCTATTGCACCTATGGGTAGGGTGAGCCCTGTGAATGCATACAGGAGCTTCAAACATCCACAAAACATTGGCTTTCTTTTTTTATTTTAAAAATTTTTTTCAGCTTTTTTGAGGTATAATTGAAAAATAGAAGTATATTTAAAATGTACAACATGATGATTTGATATACTTATACATTGTGAAATGATTCCCACCATCGTGTTAATTAATTAACACATCCACTACCTCACATAGTTACCTTTTTTGGTGAGAACGCTTAAGATCTACACTCTCAGCAAATTTCACTTATACAATATTATCAATTTAGTCACTGTGCTATACTAACGATCCTCAGAACTTATTCATCTTATAACCAAAAGTTTGTACCCTTCACCAACCTCTCCGCATTTCCCTACCTGCCAGCCCCTGGCAACCACCATTCTACTTTGTTTCTGAGTTTGACTTTTTTTTTATTTTAAGATTCCATACATAAGTAAGACTATGCAGTACTTGTCTTTCTGTCTAGCTTATTTCACCTAGCATAATACCCTCCAAATTCATCCATGTTGTCACACATGGCACAATTTATTTCTTTTTTAATGATGAATAATATTCCATTGTATATATAGACCACATCTTCTTTATCCATTCATCCATCCACACACACTTACAGTATTTCCGTATCTTGGATATCGTGAATAATGCTGCAGTGAACATGGGAGTGCAGATATCTCTTCCAGCTAGTGATTTCATTTTCTTTGGATACATATCCAGAAGAGGGATTGCTGGATCATATGGTAGTTCTATTTTTATTTTTTGAGGAATTCCGTACTGTTTTCCATAGTGGCTGTGCCAGTTACATTCCAACCAACAGTGTATAAGGGTTCCCTTTTCTCCACATCTCACCCGCATTTGTTGTCTCCTGTCATTTTGATAATAGCCATCCTAAGATGTATAAGGTGATATCTCATTATAGTTTTGATTTGCATTTCCCTGATGATTAGTGATGTTGAGCATCTTTTCATATCAAATGGCCATATACTATTGGCCATTTATATATCTTCTGTGGAAAAATGTCTATTCAGGTCCTTTGCCCATTTTTTAATTGGGTTATTTGGGGGGGGGGTTGTTGTTTGTTTTGCTACTGAGTTTTATGAGTTCCTTATATATTTTGGATATTAATCTCTTGTTGAATAAGTGGTTTGCAAAAATTTTCCCCCATTTCATAGGTTGCCTTTTCATTTTGTTGATGGTTCCTTTGCTGTACAGAAGCTTTTTAGTTTGATATAGTCCCTCTTGTTTGTTTTTGCTTTTGTTGCCTGAGCTTTTGGTGTCATATCCAAAAACTCATTGCCAAGACCAACGTCAGGAGCTATCCCATATGTTTTATTCTAGGGGTTTTATGATTTCAGGTTTTACATTCAAGTCTTTAATACATTTTGAGTTGAATTTTCTGTATGGTGTAAGATAGAGGTCCAATTTCATTCTTCTGCTTGTGGGTACCGAGATTTCCCAACACCATTTATTGAAGAGATTATCTTTTCTCCATTGTGTATTTTTGATGCCTTTGTCAAAAATTAATTGACCATATATGTATGGGTTTATTTCTGAGCTGTTGATTCTGTTCCATCAGTCTATGTGTCTGTTTTTATGCCAATACCATACTGTTTTGATTACCATAGCTTTATAATATAGTTGAAATCAAGAAATGTGATGCCTCCACCTTTGCTCTTCTTGTTCAAGATTGCGTTAGCTATTCAGGGTCTTTTGTGGTTCCATAGGAATTTGAGTATTGCTACTTCTGTGAAAAAGGCTATTGGAATTTTGATAGAGATAGCATTGACTCTGTAGATTACTTTGGGTAGTATGGACATTTTAACAATATAAATTCTTGCAATCCATGATATGGAATATCTTTTCATTTAATTGTGTCATCAATTTCTTTCATTAATGTTTTATAGTTTTCAGTGTACAGACATTTCACTTCCTTGGATGAACTTATTCCTAAGTATTTTATTCATCCTTTTTGAGTCTATTGTACATGGGATTGTTTTCTTAATTTCTCTTTCCAATTGTTCATTGTTAGTGTACAGAAACACAACTGATTTTTGTATATTGATTTTGTATCCTGCAACTTTACTGAATTCATTTATTAGTTCCAACAGTTTTTTGGTTAAGTCTTTAGAATTTTCTACATATAAGATCATATCATCTGCAAATAAAAACAATTTTACTTCTTCCTTTCTTATTTGGTGACTTTTATTTCTTTTTCTTGACTAATTTCCCTGGCTAGAACTTCCAGCACTATGCTGAATAGAAGTGGTGAAAGTGGACATTCTTTTCTTATTGTTGGTCTTAGAGAAAAGCTCTCAGCTTTTCACCATTGAATATGATGTTAGTTGTGGGCTTGTCATATACGGTCTGTGGTATGTTAAGGTACATTCCATCTATACTTACTTGTGAGAGTTTTTATCTCTCACATTGAATGAATTGAATGAAGTGAACATTCACAAGTGAATGTTGAATTTTGTCAAGTGCCTTTTCTGCATCTATTGAGATAATCATATGATTTTTATCATTCATTTTTTATGGTGTATTACATTTATTGATTTGCATATGTTGAACCATCCTTGAATCCCAGGGATAAATCCCACTTGGTTATGGTGTATGATGTTTTTAATGTGCTCTTGAATTTGGTTTGCTAAAATTTTGGTATTTTTGCATCTGTGTTTATCAAAGATATTGGCCTGTAATTGTCTTTTCTTGTAGTGTCCTTATCTGGCTTTGGTATGAAGGCAATGCTGGCCTCCTAAACGAGTTTGAGAATGCTCCCTCTTTATTTTTTGGAAGAGTTTGAGAAGAACTGGTATTAATTCTCCTTTAAATGTTTGGTAGAATTCGACCATGAAGCCATCTGGTCCTGGGCGCTTTTTTTGTTGGAATGTTTTGATTGCTGCCTCAATATCAATACTCATTATTGGTTTGTTCAGATTTTCTATTTCTTCATAATTCAGTCTTGATAGTTTCTAGGAATTTACCAATTTCTTCTAGGTCATCTAATTTGTTGGTGTATAACTGTTCATAGTAGCTTCTTATAATTATTGGTATATCTATGTTATCAGTTGTAATGTCTCCTCTTTCATTTATGATTTTTACTTGAGTCTTCTTTCTGTTGTTTTTTTTTTAGTCCAGTTAAAGTTTTGTCAATTTTGCTTATCTTTTCAAAAAGTTATCCCTTAGTTTTGTTGATCTTTTCAATTGTCTTTCTAGTTTGTATTTCATTTATTTCCACTCTGATCTTTGCTATTTCTTTCCTTCTACTAACTTTGGGCTTAGTCTTCTTTTCCTAGTTCCTTGAGGTATAAAGGAACTGTTGTTTGAGATATTTCTTTTTTCTTAATGTAAGTGTTTACCACCATAAACTCCCCTCTTAAAACTGCTTTTGCTGTATCCCATAAGTTTTTAGTACTCTGTGTTTCCATTTTCATTTTTCTCAAGATATCTTTTGATTTCCAATTTGATTTCTTCTTTGACTCATTGGTCATTCAGGTATGTTGTTTAATTTCCACTATTGTGAATTTTCCAGTTTTCTTCTTGTAACTGATGTCTAGTTTCATTACATTGTGGTTGGAAAAGCTGCTTGATATGATTTCAATCTTCTAAAACTTGTGAAGACTCGTTTTGTGGCCTAACATGATCTCTCCTGGAGAATGTTCCATGTGCACTT